CTCTCCCTCCCCGTGCAGTTCAGTAACCCGCACGTAGTATCACAGATACATCGTATTCTCTCTCTCCCCCGTTTACCCGCAGTTATTAGTATCCTATTCTCTTACTATGTGCTTCCATAGCTTTTACTATGTTCTTCCATAGCCACTTCTAGGCTAAGCCTTCGCCGTCATTTTATTGGGTCGTCATCCCGTTTGAATGTGCGAAGTGAAATAAAAACCAACCAACCAACCAACAGGCCGCGAGGGAAAACCGCAGGAGATCCCCTCGACAGGCCCAAAGCCTTTGGGAAATCCTTTTAAAATTAATAATAAAAATACAAATACAAAATATAAGGCCGAGGGACACGGTCGGTAATACCGCGTACCGGTACTGTGTCTGTGAGTTAGGCCTCGACCAAATATGTTTGCGCATATTTCCGCATATTTTGTGAGACAGTTCACATATGGCATATTGAGCGACAAAGGGAATATTGGAATGAAGCCAGCATATAATTCAAATATTCTGAAGAAAATGAGGACAAAACATTCATATTATGGACAAAATGCGTTCAGAAATGCCTTTTATGGATGAATTTGGAATGGGTGAGGCGTTTGCTACATTTCCCCATGGATGAACACTATCGCTACGGTTGCTGGGGACACACCCCAGCCATACTATTCCGGATGTGTTTTGATTTGCACCATATAGCATGATAGCCGTGAAGCCGATGAATATTCCAAGGTTGTAATTTTACTGAAATGATCTACACTTTCTGCTTATGTCGAGCATATTTTGGCATATTTTGGCATATCTTTTTGCATATCGGACGTTTTCCCTGATATGCGACGAGCATAATATGCTCTTTTTTTTTAGCATATTTGGTCGAGGCCTACTGTGAGTAGAGTCTACGAATAAGAATGGTATAATCCATTCCCGTATATCACGTGATTGTCGCCTTGGAGTTGACCAATGACCTCCAACCTGTGTCGTTGTATGATGTCGCTAAGCGTTTGCAATGTGTGGATCCACATAAAGCCACCGGAAGTGATGGAATCCCAGGTATTGTGTTGAAACGTTGCTCGGATACCCTCTCCCCATACCTGATGAAGATCGTCAACTTATCTCTTGCGTCTGGTATAGTGCCATCAACTTTCAAACATTCTCTTATCAGCCCATTGTATAAGAATGGCGACCCACTGTCAGCTCGTAACTATCGGCCCGTCTCGCTACTGCCTATTGTTTCTCGCATACTGGAACACTTTGTCAAGAAACAGCTGACAACTTTCCTAGATGATCACTCCTTGTTACCTTCAAGTCAATTTGCACACCGAAGAAATCACTCAACAGAAGATGCTCTTATCCTTGCCTCCAACCGCTGGAAATTGGCCAAATCGGAACGAAAACACACCGGGGTAGTAATGGTAGATCTATCGAAGGCATTTGATAGAGTCCAGCATGCCAGGCTTGTGCAAGTGCTGTTTGACCTTGGCATTTGTGACACACCACTGGAATGGTTCCTCAGTTATCTCTCGGAGCGGCAGCAGTGTGTACGGGTGGAACACTCAGTTTCGCAATATGTTGGATGCTCCCGAGGAGTGCCTCAAGGCAGCGTTCTGGGCCCTCTTCTTTTTGTAGTGTACACCAGTGATATGTCGTCAGTTCTACCAGGTAGTGTATGCCACCAGGAATTCGCTGATGATGTGGCTCTGGACTACTCTGACTATCAGCCTGATTTAGTGTGCTCTGTTCTCTCTAACGCTGTAACACGACTCGCTGAGTACTTGGACAACATTGGTCTGCTATTAAATGCCAGTAAAACCCAAGTTATGTTTGTGAGACCCCGTGGGTGTCTGGATGGACCATCTGAAGTGAAGTGTGGTACCACAGTGCTTGATGTTACTCCAGTCACGAAGTATCTCGGTGTCATGCTTGATGACCAACTGTCCTGGAAGCCCCAAGTGGACTCTATTGCCAGCAAGACTGCTACTACAATCGGGCAGCTCTGGCGCCATGGACGGTGCCTTTCACTCAATGCCCGCCGGGCCTGGTACATGAGTATGATCCAGTCTGTTCTCTGCTATGCCTCAAACTGTTTCTTTCCCGCTCTATCCAAACTGCTGCTACATCGACTGCTACGCACTGCTAAGTCTGGCATACGAGCCATCTTCCAACTCCCCAGAAGGACCCCCACTGCTCCCCTATTTGTCAGACTATCAATGCCTCAGCTCCACCAGCTGTACGTGCAACGTCTGCTTCTCTTCGTCTTCCGCTGCCTTCATGGCAGAGCCAGCTCACTGTTCCAATCCTACTACTCCCTCATTGCCACGGATGTGGACAGAAGTTGTGTCACGCGTGGTCAGGTCAGCCAGCTGCTCAGAGTGCCGTTCCTACCTGGTCCCTCAGGCCGTAGCTCTATCGCCTTTGTTGGCAGTACCACATGGAACTCTCTCCCTGCTGATATTCGCGCTTGCGACGTACGCCATACGTTTCAAGCATTGCTGTCTGGCTATGACCTTATCTCCCTCCTCAACTAGCTCTCCGATGTTGTGCCTACTATGTCTTCTTCACAGATTCTGCCTGAACAGATGCTCATCAATTATGTTCTTGTCCTCTATCCTAGTCCAAATCCTGCCTTGCCCATGCATGAAATGCCCGTACTAAATAGTCTATAGAACAAGAATATTGGATATCATACTTCTCTCATCAACTATGATAATACCCATTTCATAACCCCCCCCCCCTTCATAAAATTAATACCTACTGTTTTCTTTCCTTTCATTTCATCTTCTTTTTCGTTCCTTTCTTCTTCATACACATTTTAAACATTTTCATCATATTGTGAGAGCCGTGGGCCAATAGCCCCGGTGAGAAGGCAGTCTTGCCTGTTCATATGGTGAAGTAAAATAAAGAAACAACAACAACAACAGATCAAACAGCGCGGGCTGGAAAGCGCGGTCCTGCCTGAGTCAAAGCCAAGGTGATGGAACTGAATCCACTGCCCGTCGTCAGGTGACGACGGGCCGGGGCATGAACGGATTCCACTGCCCGTCGTCAAGTGATGACGGGCAGGAACGAATTCCACTGCCCGTCATCACTTGACGACGGGCAGGAACGGATTCCGGAATTCCACTGCCCGTCGGGCAGTAGCCACTGGACTGACTCTCTACTTCAAGGTCTTTCATTGGTTACTAATAAAATAACTAAAGCAGAAGAGCGACTGTTTGCAACCACAACTGTCATCATGGCGCTCCAACATTTGATCTGGAACTGGGAGAAAAGAAGCCCCTTTGTTGAACGATATTGGCGATGTGAATGAGCTCCTCCGAAAAGTTGAGAAAGAGACTGAAACTTTTATTGCGGAGTCGCTCGCGAAGGAGATCTTGGACGAGCCGGATGAGCCTCAACCAAAGCGCGCAATGCTCAGCAACCTGCAGGATCCTCGCAATTTGCCGAGGTTTCCGATCAAGACGTGGGAAAAATCCGTAGGAACAGAACAGCCAGAATGCCCGATGCCCAGTCGACAATGTCAATGGCACCGCGAGAAAAAAAGCACTATTGACTACTAGTACATGTACTACAAAAAACTGTGTGTGTGACCAGAAAACAATCACAAAACACAATGCAGGTGTGTCTGTCATTTTATCTCTTTATTTGGCTTGGGTGCACACGGGAAACACGTTCCTCATACTCGGCCAGTACCGCGCGCTGTTCATCCAGCCATTGCCGCTATCGCGGCGCGGGCTGGATTCCGCGGTACTGCCCTCGTACTCGTGCAGGAACCTGTACTTTATCATGTTTATCCCATGTAGTGATGTACTGTCCTGAGCGTGACCACTGGTGACCAGCACTAACATCTCCCTTATTGGCGTTACCCGGGGAATATTCGTGACCCCAGGGCGCGGGGAATATTATGGACCCCAGCCGGGGATATTGCAATATTCCCCGCTGGGGTCAAAAAATATTTGACTCCGATCAAGACGTGGGAAAAATCCGTAGGAACAGAACAGCCAGAATGCCTGGCATGGGGATATCGCTCGTTATCCCCCATGGTACGAAACGATTTGGGCCACCATAATATCACCCAAGTACGAGGGTGATACCTTCCGAGCTAGGAGCTAGCTAGAGCTGGAGGGATGATATCATTATGACTATGAGGGTGGTACGGTATCACCCGAGGACGCGGGTCCTACTACATCTAGGTTTTGCAGTCGTTCTTGTACAACCCCGCCCCCCCCCCCCCCATTTTCCGATGCCTATTAATAGTTGCAACGCTGACGCCGAGACCTCTGGTCGGTTGAGTTGCTCCCAGCACATCGGCACGTACGTCGTCCCTACATAACCAGTCCCTTCGCTCTGGCATCTTTCCTGCTGCCTACAAACAATACATGCCCATGCCTGCCCCTATTGGCCTATGTTTTGTCTTTTTCCTCGCTTCTTTTTGTTGCATTTCGGGGATTGATGCAACTGTGTCCTGAATACATCATGTGCCACAATTACCACGGTACAGCATACCAAAAACGAGATGCTGCCTTTCTTTTCAATCCAGTCAAGGTTTGAGAGCGATGGATCGTGGAGACAAGTAAGTAGTTAGTTGCATTTTGTAAATTATTATTATTGTAGTCTGTCGTTCATGGCCAGACTAGACTGATGCGGCGAGCTCATCGGTGCACCCCGTCATCTCCATCACGCGACCAATCTCACCCGATCGGGCACTTCGTCTTCACTGTGACTTGTGAAGTATGGCGTGTGTGCATGTGTGCACGTGTGTGTGACCAAGGTGACGGAATGGCTGAGACGCGAGCTGTATCCATGGTATCATGTACTACAGCACGCGCAGCACAGAGTTCCATGACGACTTTATGCAGACTGACGATGGCATCGTGTATGACTGCGCTGACATCCGTCGACGGTCGCTCATATCATACTCATAGTCATACTGTCATAGTCATAGACAGTCAGTACTCAACTAGTACTACTTACTACTACTAGTCATAGATCCGATTCAATTTTTCAAGTAGTTTTCAGTTTAGACGTTTTATTGCTTGGATCACAGTAAAACTCCAACAACAAGACTACCACATTATTGTAGTCTCATTCTCAGACCAAAATATAATTCCTTTCATGTACGCTGTCGATGTGCTGTCTTTGTCAATTGTTGGAGCAACCGAGTGCGAGTCGCCGGTAGGGTATTGTGTCTCGTTGAATTGTCGCCAGTGAGCGGCACGGTGCAGCACCATGCTTGCCAATCGGACTCTGCATCATAGTGTGGCTGAGAACTGGAGAAGTTGCCCTGAGTCTGAGAGTGGCTAAACCACTACCCATCGTCTAGTCGTCTCGCAATTGCTGTTCCTGTGCCTGTGGTGTCCCGAGTTTGATAGCCAGGTACGATGACGCCTGAATACATTCGTCTCTGTGGCCCGAATATTCTCCCCCTGATCCTGAACACAATGAACATGTGACGAAGTTAGGGGCATACTTTGTTGAAGTTAGTTACTGGTCAGTGGAAATGGATTGTATTGAATTCGTTAGAATACAGGTACCGGTACATGTACGTGTACTTCTACCTGTACTAGTGTGTGTATGGGCAGCATGGGAACCCTCATTTCACTTCACTAGGCGAGTAGGCAGTGATGCCTTCTCACCAGCCGAGGGCTGTCTCCTACGGAATGATGAAAAATAAATAATAATGTTGAATGGCCCTCGGAGTCGGGGGGGAGACGGGAGTCTCTGCTTGGATAACAGCTACATGTATACCACAGCGCAATCTGCGGACAGAACTGTTTCATCCTTTGTGGACTCATCAGCACAGCACAGAGAAAATGAAGCCGAACCTGATAGCAATGAAAATAAATTTCCAAAGCCAGATTTAAACCAGGCCCGGACGTACCTTGCCAGAGTGCTCAAACTGACAAGCCAGTGAGCTCTGCATAACGCAAACAGCAAAGGCACTACCCCGCACGAGAGTGCTCAAGCTGCGGACAGAACTGTTTCGTCCTTTATGGGCTCATCAGCGCAGCACAGAGAAAATGAAGCGGAGCCTGATAGCAATGAAAATAAGTTTCCGAAGCCAGATTTAAACCAGGCCCGAACGTACCTTGCCAGAGTGCTCAAACTGACTGGCCAGTGAGCTCTGCATAACGCAAACAGTGTACCACAGCTCAGTGGTTAGAGCATCGCTGGCCTCAAGCGAAGAACCCTGGTTTGAGTCCTGGTGGTGACAATCAATTTTTCTTCAGTTTTTTTTCCTTTTCCATTCCCTCAGCTAGTGAAATATTATTGTAGATCACGACTTTTCTGCCCTGCTGGTTGAGTATAATTCTTATTGTTTTTACTCCTTGACGCAACCTTGGGTTGCCTAGTAAAACGATGGCGAGGAAAACTTGGAAACATATGTACTGTATGAGTGAAGATTGCTTAGTAAGTGTATCCATTGCGAGAAAGTAATAGTTCAAGTAGTATCAATCTGTGAATGCTCCGTACAAACTAAGTTACTGCCGCCCTCCATGGATTCTGTGCTCCGGCAACTGTACCACCATACCGGTATGTGCAGTAAACGCTCCTAGGTCAAGCTCACCTGTCCTGATCTCTAACACACTTGCTGCGCTGTCTCACTGTCATTATAGCAATCAACAGAGCATGCAGCGAAGCGGACATTGGACGTAGTAATCAACAAGAATAAAACTTGATGGATAATAGAATTTAAACATTCTCAGCTTCGCTGATTCTGCTGATTGCTATAATAAAGTTTTAGTCTCCGCGCCGCCTATTCATATGTCTCACTGTCATACGTGCACAAGCACACATGCACATATATACCCAGAAACATTATAGTGCCAATGACCACAACAGGCTCTCATGACAACACTGCTGACTACTGAAGGCTAGGTGTGCATTGCCAGTGCATGATAGACACCATTAGGCAGGTTACACTACATGTACGTGTACAAATACATATATAGCTGCAAGGTTATTGACAGGGACTTTCCCCTTACCAAGTATGAGTCCTTTGAATCCAGACAAGATGAAACTTCCGAGGGCCGTATCTTCCTGAAAAATATTTGCATTTTTCACAGGTGCCAACTTGAAACTGGCAGGATGAGTGGACCGCCGCCACACAAGCTGCAGTATCCGGCGCCTCCAAGTGAGGATGAGGATCCGAGCGAGATGGTCATTCGCAAGAATGCCCTGGCCCGGGCTGCTCGCAAGGCTAACGAGGACAAGGAGAATCTGGAGAAGATCAACCGCCGCATCAACCTGGTACTGTAAAACGGGAAAATTTCGGTGTTGATAATATTATATTTTCGATAACTTCAGTACAGGCAATTTTTATAATAAAAAGCGACCTAAAATTCAACCACAGTGTGCAAACTGCATTTTTGGATCTGGAAAACGGGTTAACCGAAATTTTCTCGCTACCGAACCGATTCTGGGAAATACCGAAAATATTACACCACCGAAAATTCCCGGTTTTACAGTATTGGGTGGAGCCCAGAGTTCTATTTCCACTTTTATCTTGCGTGATTCAAGTTGTTTTTCTTTGATTATCAAGGCTACGTCGTGGAGCACGATGTTATTATAAATGATCTTTTCGAGGTAGAGCATTGGTTTACCCCGGCTTTGTGTGTTATCCTTCTGTAGTAAAGTGTTTCCAACTTTCCTTGTTTGAGCCATAGAGGGTGGTGGTGTTCCTACGGATGCGGAAACCTCGGCCTCCCGAACCGTTATTTTTGTGTGCTTTTTTCCCGTAACTTTGAGGGAGTTGAAGCAGGAAAAGTCTGAAGAATAAATTGACTGCCACCATCAAGATTTGAGCCAGGGACTGTCGCTAATGCCCAGAGATTTGTCATTTCAGTGTTTGCCTCGTCACCCCTCACGTCTATTTAGGTCGTCGATCTTCTGTTGACCTACTGTCTCATATGTGTGTATTTCTGTGTTTGTCTGCCTGTGTGTTTGTGGGTGCCCCTACTTGCTCATGCACATGTGTGTAGATTGTGAGCCGTTACAAGCGTATAGCCGACACCAGCTTGGAGTACTTAGATGATGCTGTAAGGTCCTCACTGATTCAAAACCTGTACATGGTACTGGTAGGAGGGGAGGGGAGGTTGAGGGGAGAGGGAGAGGAATAGAGAGGGAGAGGGAGGGAGAGGTAGAGGGGTATAGAGGGAGAGGGGTATAGAAGGAGAGGGATAGAGAGGGAGATAGAGAGGGATATAGACAGAGAGAGGGGAGTGATAGAGAGAGAAAGAGAAATGAAGGCATTGAGATGGAATTAGAGTGGGAAACGACAGATTCTCATTTGATTTTGGCCTTTTGATTGCCGCAAAGAACATTGCGAATCTTGTTTTAAAATGTTTTCCTCACCTTGACACTAGTATTTTATTGGACTGTTTTTGCAGGAAGAGCTTCTTGAAGTGCTGAAAGACCCTGTGAAAAGGAAGAAGGTATGACCTTTGTATTGAAGCCCTTTCTCACGACTAGCCCTTTTGTGATTTTACCTATCCACACTCCTGGAAAGTTAGCACCAGCCTGGTCAGGTTGTGTCTGAGCTTTCTAATCCTCAGTATTGTGTGTGTGTGCGTGTGTGCGTGTGTGTGTGTGGGGGGGGGGGGGATCTTAGCTACTAGTGAATTCATTACAGCACATTGCTCTCTTGGTCAACCCTGACCCTGCGTCACCCTAAGTATACACCACCTGCACCACTGCGATATTGAGGATGATTCTGCTGAGATATTGATATTGAAGACCCTAGCTCTGTATTGCCTTCAGAGCTCATCTGTAAAGGTCATGCATCCCATGGGGTGCAGCGAACTTGGCTACATTTATGTAATGGCTTACTGTCATAAATTCCATTTTCAAGCTCATAACATTCCTGGGAGAATCTAATTTCGACTGCTTTCCTGGACCTTTGATGTATCCTATTTTCCAGAGTACTATACAAGGCGCACTGTAAACACCAGTAATTCATCCAAAAAAGTCGCAATGGCTTATGCTACCATTGTCGAATTAACTATGGTAAATGGGGTCGATGTCTGTATTTCGTGACCAAAAATCTGTGTGGGGCCTATACTCCAGTGTTGCTTATACTCCCGCGCGGCTTTCACTCTGGAAATACGATACACAAATTGATGTTATGCTTACTAGACATTCTGTTTTTGCCTGTTAACGCATCACACCGCAGTATGAGGAGCAGATCATGGTGGTCGTCATCGGAGCTGCGGAGCGAAATCTCCAGCAGAAGTCCGTGGTACGCTCATTTTTAAATACTTTTTTTGTTTTTAGGGTAAATACCCAGACAGGGTGGACTAACTACGCTCAAACCTGTCAAGGCGACCACTAATAAAAGGCGACCAACTATCCTAGAAGACCACTGAAACCAGGACCAAGAGATGCTATTTCTAGTCAAATGACGTCGAATAAGGAGACCACCTGGTAACAGAGACCACCTTTGAAGGTCCCATGAGCGGTCGTCTTAGACAGGTTTCACTGTATACTGAGAGGTGCCTGTACTCGCCTCCATCCCAGCATATGTTGTAAGGGTAGGTAGAAGTGTCTCCATGACAACTTGAGGTGAATGTAGTTATGTGTCTTATTCCCTTAAAATTTACTACCTGCTCATCGGATTATCCAGTTACTGTAAACCGGAAAATTTCGAACCGTTGGTTCTGGGAAACACCGAAATTATTACACCCCCGAAAATTCTAGGTTTTACAGTAGCTTATGCAATTTTAAAATTCTATTTTTCGTATGTTCTATTCCTTTTCAAACCTTCCATCAGGTTCTCTCTTCGCTGAATGAGGTAAGCTCCACACTCAGATCATGGCAACATTCTGCTGCCAATGCACTGTTAGTCTGCCTCATTGTTCAGTTGACAGTATTCCTGATTGAGTCATGATATCAAGCAAATGGCCGAGTCATGTTTCCATTAAAGAATTAAAAAAAGACCTCTCCAAACTAAATTTTGATTGCGGTATTTCTTTCGAAAAATATATTGTAGAGGGCTTGGAAAGGGGTTAAACACATTCGTTGATGTAGTGTGTTTTGGGTATTGAACCGCCCCAAAAAAAGGGGTGACCGTGTTTTGCAATACTGAGTGTTTGGGATCTGCGTAATGGTCTTTCCTGTTGCATCATATCTGGTATATATATTTCTATGTCTGAGGTTGCATGCTGTCAGCTTCACACATGATCCCTGAGCTAGTGTGTCACTCACTCAGCTGCTTCCTCCCTCCCTCCCTCCCTCCCTCCATCCCTCCCTCCCTCCCTCCATCTCCCTCTCTCCCTCCATCCTTCACTTACTTTACTCACTCACTTGACCTGTCACTCGCTCAATTGGTTACTCCCTCACTCGTTTACGTGTTGTTCCATAAAACTACTTCTTCCTTACCATGTGACGCACAGTTCTTCACGGGAAGTGCCGAGGCATTGAAATCAGACACAGAGTTGGACAGCGACGATGACACTTGGGAGGCTGATGGTGTTCCAGACGCCAGTCACTTGGCAGTGTGAGTCACTATGATGGCATAACGATAATGCAGTGTCTGCTCCAGAGCCGGGCCAGCGACTCGTTTAGGGGGGGGGGGGTACTTGGGCCCGCTTGGAAAAAGAACACCGGGTCACTTGTGACCTGGTTGGGACTCAATCAGGGAGTCCTAAGACTCCCTGATGTACAATAGCCGCACTTGAAAAAGTTGAATGGATCCGCGACTGACCCGGTTGCAAGAGTGTTGCCTGGTACACGTGTACTCAGTTGATTTGAAATCCTAGAGCAGAAACTGTAGTGATACCGATATCTTCAGTCTTCTTTTAAACAAAAGTGCAACCAGACTAAGGAATAGAACAAGCATCAGGCTCTTTGCGGGCGACCTTTCAAAATTTCCAGTATTTCCATTCGACTCGAACGGGTACAGACAAAAGAAGGATCTAACCAGGTTAGTGTATTTTAACAATTTTTCTGGGTGATATAGGGAGCAGTAGGTGTCATAGATTAACGAGTGTCATGTTTAGACTGTATGTGCTAAGCTGGGAGATAAGCGAGACCAAACACAGAAAGGGAGCAAAGTGTAGATTATGATGCACATGGAAACATAGAGAGACTTACACCTATGTACCAGTTCTGGACGTGTGAATGGGTATGATCAGAGTGATATGCATTGTGTGTGATCAGCGTGATCTGCATTGTGTGTGATCAGCGTGATATGCATTGTGTGCGATCAGCGTGATATGCATTGTGTGTGATCAGCGTGATATGCATTGTGTGCGATCAGCGTGATATGCATTGTGTGTGATCAGCGTGATATGCATTGTGTGCGATCAGCGTGATATGCATTGTGTGTGATCAGCGTGATATGCATTGTGATAACAACAAGTGACTACTGAAGTATGAACCTAGCTTACACATCCACAACTACAAACATAACTGAAGTATAATGCTATTTCTCCATACAGTCAACTTCGCTTATAACGACACTCGGCGGGGCATCAAAAAATTGTCCTTATTCGCGAAGTGTCGTTATACCCGAAGTCTCATTATATGTATTACAGTGGGATGGGACTTTGCTCTGGGCATGGAAATTCTGTCGTTATTCGCGAACTGTCGTTATATCCGCAGTCGTTATTGGCGAAGTTGACTGTATGCGGCAGAATCAACACTCTACTTCTTTATCTATGTTTGTTCACGCCAGTCTACCAACTGCTGCTTATATCAAACATACATTGTTTAAAAATGGATTCGGATGGAGAGCCAAGGATAAATTTATAGAAAAGAAAAATGACCAAGGAGCTACAAGTTACGCTATAATGTCCATTGTCAACTAACACCACCAGTCGTGTCGTGCAATGTTATCGCATGAGCTGATTGTTGAGTAACTGGTGGTGTTAGTGGACAGTATAGCGTAACTTGTAGTTCCTTGGTCCTTTTTCTTTTCTACATTGTTTAAGCATCATCATTGCACTGGCTTGTTTCTCCTTCTGCTTGTATTGACCTGAAGAGAAGCGAATGAAATTACTTGAGGAAATTCGGAATGTTGCGTGCAAGAGCCTGAAGCTAACCAGCTCAGCTTTGTTTGTCTGATACATGCATTAACCTGCATTTCATACTGAAGTAGTAATGAGTATAAATGCTGCGTCAAAGAGAGAGAGAGAGAGAGAGAGAGAGAGAGAGAGAGAGAGAGAGAGAGAGAGAGAGAGAGAGAGAGAGACAAACCTGCTTCAAAGTAAGTTGTGTCTCTCAGCAAAAGCTTTTCTGCTCATTACAATGAGCTGCTGTTATCTTCATTTCCGAACAGCAAGAGGACTCTAAAAGACAACTATTCACTTGTTACTAGTGAGGTTCACACCTGATAATTTGTTAGATAATATTGACTATGGGTGACTCCGAACAGTTTTCATTCTACCACGACTACTACATTCTGTTCCATTCAATAATATTAATATTGCTTCTGTTGTGTGTAATTCATGGCACAGAGATGCCCGATCTCAGCTCTCCAGTGCTACCCAGAAACTGCAGGACATCAACCTGTCGTACGCCAAGATGCTCAAGCTGCAGCAGGCGTTCCCAGATAGCAAAAAGTAGGTGGAGCTGGATTCTCTACACCATTAGAGTGACCAACCCTGTTCTGTAAAGTGTAGGGGACGGAAACGTTACGTGACAGCCAGCCAGGAATAATGACGGCCCTGACTTTGGAATCACTTGGATCCAGTTTTGGTATGGTTCCATGCATGTGTGGGTGGTTTTCCTTCACAGCATGGTAACACTTTCTCCGGTAGTGGCAGGGCTGGTCCCTCCCGGTCGGGCAGCTACTCCTGGCGCAGAAGAAACACACACTCGCATGCAACACATGCGTCCTACCCACCACATACTGCAGTCCGTCACGGGCTGAGTGGATCAAGAAGTCGTTATTTGTCGTTATTAGTTGACTTCTGACGTCATTACGTCCACGCCCTATTGTCACGGTAACGTATTTTTCTGGATCGGATAAGAGAAGAAGTCCAGGGTTATAGGGGTTGTCCATAAAGCAGACAGCATCATGTAATCCTTGAAGGCTGCTGGGTGGTGTCAGGACTGACGGTCAGAGTGTCATGTATGTTTCCAGGGGACGGAAAAAGCTGGAGAAAGCTCTGCTGACCGCCCAGGATGAAGTCCAGCAGCTGCGGGGTGGTATGGCACAGGTTATGGAAGGTAAGAGCATACCTTAGGACTCCAAATTCCAATACTGTAAATATACAAATTTTCGGCAGCTATTTAATTTCGGCTATATTCGGCACCGACCCAAAACGCCTAAATTAAAACGCCGATGAAATTTTTCACAGCATCTGTCGCACTAACTTATACCATGCTCTCTACCCCACGCCGAAAATAAATCGCCGCCGAAATGTCAAAAATCGTGAAGTGCCGAAATTTTGCAGCGCCGAAATTTTGTATATTTACAGTATTCACCAGTGGCATGCCTGTTTGATCACGATCTTTTAAACAGATTTTAAGATTGTTATCTCTAATATGTATGTCACAACAGGGACTCTATTTTCCAATCTAATTTAGGACTCTAATTTCCAATCTTTATGGCGTGCCTTTTTGTTCACAATATTTATTAAATAATGATTGTTATCTCCAATCTGCATGTCATGACTGAAATTATACTCGCTGCACGCCGATTTTTTCTACAAGTGTCCATGGGCTCTAGTATGATTAGATTTTAGGAGCAAAGAGTAGTGAGACCTAGTGGACTTGGCTGGCGTGAGGTCTCTGCTTCATAGTGAACTAGATGCACCAATAGGAAAATATACGCGGAAACCTATTGGCGAAGGCATGTCACCCTGTCCTGTAGGCTGTACCCTAGCGACATTTGCGAAGACAAGTATGCAGGATAGGAGCCGAGTTTGCCTACTACTCTTGCTGTGTCTTGCGTTCAGACCTAGACAAGGCGAATGAGCAAATTGATCAGTTCGAACAAGAAAAAGAGCGGCACGGCGAAGAAGTAAAAAGGTATGTTAGTTCCCATTCTGAAACAGCAACATTTTTCCTAAAATCTTTTGAACATTCTGTCTCGGTGTGGAGGACGTTCAAAGCTACCGGTGTACCATAATGTTGTGATTGGTGATGAGCTTATAGACACACCACAACTATCTGTGCTTTTTACTCAAAGTTCTACGATCATGTACACGATTCAATTTTCCCGCTGTATGGCCATCATCAGCATTCAAAGTCCTAGCCGCACGCCCAACGTTGTAACCATAAATTTATGATCCCAGTATTATCCTGTAGAGCATACAAATACCTACACGTGGCATAGTTTCGTTCCACCTTGTGTTACATGATATTGGTCAACCTCACTAGTTTCTCCTCAATTTTGATGATGGCTCCTGGCCGAAAACTTGAGTAAGGTAATAGAAATTTGCAGCAAAGAGACCTCTTGCTTTGATGATGGTATAGTTTTTCGTAGAAAGAAAAAGGACCAAGGGTACCGTATAATATTTATCCTTGGCTCCCCATCCGAGTATATAGCTTTTTCCGTTTTATATAGTGTTGAACATGTAAAACTGTACAAATCATCTCTGCTCTCCAATCTTGTACGATATCTCTGCATGCAGACTGCACGATGAGATGAAGGAGAGCAAGGTAAGCATGATGCTCAACCGGTTTATAGATCAACCTCCACTTTAATGTTGCGTACATACCGTTTCATATGTGCCATATCACACGGGAGCTGAATTCCTCCTTGCATATGCGCGTACCGGTTACTGCTTTCATCTGTACCTGGTATCATCTGTAAGGTGAAGCCAAAAGTAGCCCACAGCCAATTATGACCGCAGGGTCAGGATGTGTTAGAAACCTCCTGTCGTAATGAGATCGACATAGCGAAGGCGATGCTCATCTCCTCTCCCTCACCATCTTTGTTTCCCCACCCGAAACCTGAAGCCCCTCACCCAACCCTGGATGCTGCACTGGTGGAGCTCTTTAGGGATTTGTTTGCCTGTTCCCATCAAGTGTCTGTTTATCTGGCCACGGGAGTGGCTAGAGATATGTTTCGAATGCTTGCATTCACACATGTTCTCCTGTATAATTATAATATTGTCATTTTGCACCAATCTTCTCCAGATGCTTAGTGCTGCGGCGAAAGACAAAGAGGCCGAGTTGCAGACGATGAAGTTGAAGCTCAGGACAGCTGAGGAGGTAGGTACAGTGTAGACCTGCTGCTGAAGGTGAAGCCCTCTGCCGGTTATCTCTCCCTTGTTTTCTCTGCATGTTTTTCTACCCGTCTCTCTGGTCCATTTCCGTAAGATGTTCATCCAGTTTTGGCATAACGGTCCCATCACTTGGTGCTGGAAGAACACGGTATGACGTTAGAAGTGAATCACATCATGGATGTATAAAGCACACACGGTTTGCTGTATGTATGCTATTTATATAGTATAAGGCCATCGTGGATAGTTGACTAGGGTTACACTTCCAAACATGCCGCTCTAACTGGTGTTACTGTCTTGGGGTTTTTTCCGTTGACAGAAACTCCTGACTGCGGGTGGTCAAGCCAAAATTGAACAAATGGTAAGAATCTAGTGGAGAATGTCTTTGATGACCAGCGTTTGATAATCTTAGTTGAGGGAGCAAAGTGCCTCCGGTATATGGTTTCCCTTTCCAGAATTGGTAGAAGTTTGCAAAGTGGTGCTCTCCCACCAACATGTATTTGCTTTTTGTCTGTGTAAGTCTGTCAGCAATTGGCTGCCACACTGGTGTCCTGTTGCTTCTCTAAACAGAACGCTCACATTCAGGATTTGCAGCTGGAGGTGCAAGCGGAGAAGCAGTGTCGAGAGTCGTTCCGGGATGGTAAGAATTTCAGGCATACGAGCTGCGCTTTGATCTGCAGCCGCCGTCAATCATTTTTGTGAAAACAGAATAAAACTGCAGATAATTGCCCCTAATGAAATAAGAGTGATTGCTGTCTGTAACAATGTACTCAGTTTGAACTTGAACATGCACACATTTTTCCTGACATCAAGAATTTGAAACGGTACACTTTTCTTGTGAATTTGTCGCAGAGTGAGCACACACGTAGGGAGCTTGCACCTCACCGCGTTACATACTGATCCGGGTGTGTATGTGTGTGTGTGTGTGTGTGTGTGTGTGTGTGTGTGTGTGTGTGTGTGTGTGTGTGTGCGCGCGCGTGTGCGTGCGTGCATGTGTGTGTATATGTGTGTGTGTGTGTGCGTGTGCGTGTGCGTGTGCGTGTGTGTGTGTGTGTGTGTGTGTGTGTGTGTGTGTGTGTGTATGTGTATGTGTGTTCATGTGGGCATGTGTGTGCATGTCTGTGTCTAGCCATGATGGATGATCATGGCAGAGAGATGGAGATGGCAAGGACAGAGTTTCAGGAGAAGATGCGCATCCTCATGGATGAACGCGATCAGCTCAGCCACAGGCTGCATAAGTTCATTGATGTAAGTAAAGCGTATCAATGATTAGCCATGGTCATACTTGCCAGATATTTCTCAGTTCATTGACTTATGTTCTCTACATTATTGGACAAGACCAAGGATCCCCTCCTTGTTTTGCATTGAAAATCAAGATTATATGCAGGATAAAAGAGACTGCGAAAAGAGTTTGGTTGTACCAGTATTTAGTAATTAGACCAACTTCATCAGTATTTTAGTAGGTCAAAGTGTTAGCTCCTCTTGAATGATGTGAAGACTCCTGTGCAGCATCCCATATACGTGTGCGGTTTAACTACCACTCCTCTGCTAAAGCTCCTTCCTGTACGGAGTAACAGAAACTGGTGTGACAGGGATGTTCTTGATGTATCAATCCATCTCGGTAGATAACCCAAGCTACTGACATCACATGCGAGACGTAGTGACTGTTTGTGCACACAGAGCACACATTTGTATGATGTCATTACAAAGCACACATTTGTATGATGTCATTACAAAGCACACATTTGTATGATGGCATTACAAAGCACACATTTGTATGATGGCATTACAAAGCACACATTTGTATGATGGCATTACAAATCACACATTTGTATGATGTCATTACAAAGCACACATTTGTATGATGTCATTGCAAAGCACACATTTGTATGGTGTCATTGTGTGCAGGCATCAGAGTTCAGTGAACGATCGAGCGCTGCCAGCTTAGATGGAGACCCTGAAGACCAGCCAGCATCACTGTCAAGACTCAGTGGACAATACCAAGAATCCAGAGCAGGCAGTCAAGACGGTAGCAGAGCCTCTCGAGCAAGTGTGAGATCTCAGATTCTCGACGGTGCTGATGCGGCTGGAGAGATGACTTTGGAAGGCGACGGGCCTCAAGGAGCACAAGGTAAGATGAAGCTACATTGTACGTCATGTGGACTTGGGGATGTCGCATAAAGGGACCCGTGTCCGCCAAGTCGAGGACGGTTTCTGTAGCTATTCATTCACCTGTGGATGCCGCTAATAAAGACTCCTACTTGTAGTATGGGAAGGTTTCTGTATCGATGCATGTCTTTGAGAATCCTACGAGGCATTGCGTTCAGTTAATGACATTATGGAAGGGCTTCTGAACTGTGACTCCCTACATTTTTGGCTCTTATTTGGTTCATTGTCTGATTTGTGTCTTTGTACCAGGGAGCACCACCAGCCTCCATGACAGTGCATCAACTAAGCTCGTCGCAAGTAGCCATCCGAAGCTTCCAAGCCAAAGTACAGCGGAACTCCAGGCTAATGTTCAACTGCTTACACAGAAGCTAGCAATGGAGCAGGACAAGGTGAGAAGATCGTGTTAAGATTGGTTGTGTTCTGCGCAGGCCACGTCAAGTCTTCTAAAGAGTTGTCTTTTGGCCTTTGGCGGTCCCCGAACATTCCCCAGGAAAATTGGCCTAGAAGTATTCTATCTCAGATGCCCTGGTGAATTCCTGATAATATATGAAAAATTCACACCACCCACTCTTTCTGTTTGCAAATGCTGATTCAGGCAAACAATTGTGTTGATTTTAAAAGGTAAACTCTCGCGATTCACCGATCTTTGGTCTTCTTTCCTACCCATACGTATATAATTATGCACTTTTTGAGTGCACTGATATGATTGTTTTCTGGGGTGTAGTGAGTACCGTTACCGTGGGCACAGAATTTGATTAAGTGGGAGCCCAACATTTGAGATTCGCCCAGCACTCTGGGTGTAAAATACAATGGATATGGCCCTGTACGTAGTGAGCCGACATTCTTTTTCAGCACCATACTGCTCATCATAGTCTAGTGCACACATAATAATACCCTGCAGTCCATTATGCCGCGACACCGCTGACTGGTCTCGTCCTGGTCTTTCTCCATGATTGTTATTCTACATGTGCACTTCCATAATACCCTAGAAGAAAACAGGTTGGTCTTCCTGTTGTGTGGCATATGTGAGCGACATGTGAATGAAGCATGTCAAAGAGCTCAATTATTCTTTCAAGTGTAGGTTATAACAGTATAGTATTCTATGAAGCCTCCATTGTTTCATGGTAGGGGAATACCAAAGTAGATCGATGCACGGCCTGATTGTATGTTGCCGTCTTCCCCGTGGCATTTAGGTTCAATCTGGCAAGAAGAAGTTGGCGGTGCTGAAGGTGCAGGTCGCTGACAGTATGCTGGTACGCAATGAACTGGAGCGGCGGCTAGAGCTGTCGCTGAAGGAAAACCATACGCTGGTGAGAGACTGGTACCACACCATGTCAGGGTCATTTCTGTGACAAGTATACCTGGAATATACAGATAATTCCATGCTATGGATTATAAAGGAAGACGTTCATTGACGCATACAGTCAATTTCGCTAATAATGACTGCGGATATAACGCCAATTCGCGAATAACGACAGAATTTCCATGCCCAGAGCAAAGTCCATTCCACCTGTATGCATATAGTGAGACTTCGGGTATAAGGACACTTTTCTGATGCGCCGCCGAGTGGCGTTATACGCAAAGTTGACTGTACCCATTATGTTGATGGAATAAAGTGTGGTAGTTCTTGACGTGATGGGTACACTGATGTGTTACATTTAGATGTTGTTAATCAGGTTTGCGAGTGTTCATTTATCGAATGGTGTGAGGAGCAAGGATTCGGCTGCTGCTGCTCTCCACACCTGTAGCTGACGATCTAGGTTATAGTCTGTTATGCTTCCTGGCTCCGTGGTACTTCGTCCTGGTGGTGATGGCAACGACCGAATTGTTAAACCACTGTTCTCAACCGCTGGAGGAAGGTTGCAAAGGGCTTCAGATGCAGCACTGTGCTGGCCTTCAGCATCCATTCCCCTGTTATAGTTTCACGAGATGTTCAAAGTTTTGTGCGGACTACAATTATTTTTTGCAAGTACGTTTAGTCACAAAGCTTTGAATGTCTTTTTTCCATTTGTCATCAGCCCCGGTCTTACTTCCCTCTGCTCTGCTGTTGAGCTCACAAGAAAACAAAGCATAGCAGCTAAAATCATTGGACCCAGTATGAGGAGTATGTACAGAGGCAGGCCGGGCACCCTACTGCATAAAAATCAGAATGTGTTCGAAAAACATGGGCCGAGGTTCCCGTAAATAAAGTGGCACCGAGGCAGATTTACAGAACGGGTTTGTCCCTTCTCCTGACCATGATTGTGGCTCACATTATGTCTTGTGTTTGTTTCATTCTTTGTTTTTTTTGTGTCCATGGCAACTGATCAGACTCATCCGCAGCGCAGCACAGTCGGCGCTCAGTTCCCGAGCAAGCACACAACACCAGCGCAGAGTACCCACGACATGGCGACAGCAATCCAGGACAGGTCTGCAGAACGGCCGCCAAGCGCGTACTGCGATGCCGAGACTCAAACCGATCACGTCCAGCTAGTCTCCATATCGAGTCCTACACCTCCACCAAAGTCACCTGCCCGTTCGGTCAGTCCTGGCAACGGTGCTACCCAGGTAACACGGACACAGGCGAAGACACCAGCCTCATCTCCGCGCAGTAAGAGCGCTGCTGTGCGCAGAAGATCACCGGCCACTACCAACGGCACCGCGACCGTGGGCATTGGTGGAAATCTATCGACGAAATCGTCCGTGACCCTCGGACAGCACTATGCAAGTCGTCCTGCCACCAGGAGTCGCAGTGCCAAGGTATGTGGATCACAACAGAGGACGGATACAGGGGCATTATTACTATGACTGCCATGGCAACCTTTGCAAATGTGCAAGCATTCGATTGTATGTCCATTGCATTGAGCAGTGTATTTTAAAGATGGGCCTCAACCAGCGAAAACAGCCCTTAGGGTCAACATTTTCAAAATTCCTTTTTGGTTAGAAATTTGTTGAAACACATCTACTGAAGGATCTCAGCCAAGAAAAAGTTCAATATTCCGATTCAAAATGGGTGTATACACCAATACACAAGATGTACTCCAAATTGGTGCAATGTATTGTATACGATGTATGTGTAGAATAATTATTCAGCATTCTTAAGCTCGGTGGGTAGCTTGAATACTTTTGAATCAGTACAGTAAGCAGCTAGAATGACAAAGAATAGCTGACGAGTGCGGAGACATGGTCGACATATTCGCAGCTCCATCCTGCTTGTAGTCGTTCCGCAATCTCATCTTCCATTTCTTCCTCCGCAGCTGAAGACACGACGTCGCTGCCGTCACTAGCCCCAGACTCAGAATTTATCTCAGTTGACGACTCATCATCTTCCGACTCTGACGAGTCATTGGCCACCTTGAGCCGCATCGCAGCAGGAGATGAGGGCTGCGATTCCGCCTCGCTGTCGACATCGATATCGGAACCAAAGGACGTCTCATAATCACTCTGAACTTCAGCGGCTAGTCCAGCATCCACTCCTCGAGCTAGCTGTGCACAATGACTGCCGCGTGTGCTCTACGAACAACTCTGGCGGCCGCAGCCATCGCAACAAGATCAAGGAACACTCGAGTCGCCACTCGACACCACTTCAACTTCAAAATAAATTACTTCAAGCAAGGAGTTCAAGAAGAACTCGTTACGCTGTTCGCAGCGCGATCAAAAAATCGTTGAACGTCACAAATCGACCTTTTTCTCGAATTTTTTTCGAAACCTCTAAGGGTCGTTTTCGCTGATTGCGGCTCAGATAGCTTTGCATCTGATCAGGTTCTATAAAGGAATGATGGATTAGTTCTCAAGGGTCTGGAAAACATCTTCAGCTCTATCTCAAGTGTAGAGTCAACCTCAAAATTGTTCTTAAAAGTAGCGGTTTCGGCGGTATTAGTGATGGAACTCTGTTATTCTGTTTATTGGCCTGCAACGGCGGCAATTTCAGCCAGTTAGTCTTACCTCTTCTTTATGAGAAGATTGAAACTGCTAGACCTACAGATATCGAACTATAACAATTGAGTCGAGCCTGTTTTTGGCGACCACCTCGACATGCAAGCATGTGCACTGTCCCTCTGCTCTGGCTACACTCTCTGAGTTAGTAGAACATAATACCGGGGCATTGAAGAGGGGCAAGTGCCCGGGTCGGCGATATGCAGTCATCGTGCTCGGAGGTTAGAGCATGTTTTTTTTAAACAAAATACATGACTCATCGGCAGGCACATGAGGCTAGCATGGGGCAAGGCGGTGCTGGTGGGGCCTGTCATGCTCAACCGACCAGAGGTCTCGGTGCCTTTGAATGGCAGGTGCACCAAATTATTATTATTATTATTATTATAGACAACACCTCATGGCATGAGAAGAAAATCAGCCAGTACGGGAGATGTGGGTGTTAACCAACCATGGTGAATAAAAGAAGAAAAATAATGGTCAAGACGGAGAAGCATGGGAGGGACAGGTGATGGTGAATCTAGTGAGCAGATTTAAATGCGTCCAGGGTACTGGCATTGCGCGTAGTAGCGGGCAGCGCAAGCCAAGCAGAGTAAGCAACAAAGAGTGGAGAGCATACAAGGGAGGACGTTTTAGCCAAGGGGAGGGCAACAGAGCATCTTGTCTGGGAGCCATCTGTGATTCGGAACCAGTTATACACGTTAAGATGAGGAGGATGTAGAGCTAGTTTAAATTTGTGAGCAAAAGTGCAAATTAATTTTTGACGGTGGGTCGACAGTGGGCAAGCATTTGCAAGGACATACAGGGAAGCAGAAGGGTAGAGAGGGGGTAGACTAAACAGGATACAAAGAAGTTTTCTAGGGTGGATTTCGAGATGCTCAGCGAGAACCGAGGACAAGCCACACCAGCTAACAGCAGCGTACATGAAAAGAGGCAGGATGTACAGTTTGTAAAACAAAATTTTACATTTGAAAGGAAGATGGAAACAATGGGGACGTATAACACCTAGGGCAGAGCTTGAACGGCTGCAAAGAGCATCAATATGGAAAGACCAAGAGAGACGATCATCAAGCATTATTCCCAGGTGTTTATGGTTGGAAACAACCTTTATGGGTTCTGGGAAATCAGGATGGTGTAAAAGTGACATGGATGAGATTGGGGGAAGGAACATTATTTCGGTTTTAGTCAGGTTGGGTCTAAGTCGCCATGTTTGCATCCAGCGTAGGACACTGCATATCTGAGCCGACACTCGAGGTACAAGAGCCGCTGAGGACGAGGATGCTGACAGTAGGGTTGTATCACCAGCAAATAACGAGACACCTGGGTCTATAGAGGGTAAATCATTTACGTATGCTACGAACAAAAGAGGTCCAAGTATGGAGCCTTGGGGAACTCCAGAAAACACTGGTAGAGGATCAGAGTTGATGGAGAGGGCAGAAACAAACTGTGATCGGCTACTCAGATAGGACTCCAGCCAGGACAGAGCAGGGCCAGACACACCAAAGACAATATGTAGCTTGGCAAGGAGGCCACGATGCCAGACAGTATCAAAGGCCTTTGCCAAGTCAAAGAAACAGAGAGCAATATGGTGTCGAGCATCACGAAGGGTGGCAATGTCTTGTACTAGACGAGCTAGTTGGTCAGAGGTTGAGTCGTTGCGCCGAAAGCCAGATTGGGAAGGGCTAAGGCATGGTGAAATGTGGCAATACAACTGGTCGTAAAATACCTTTTCACATACTTTTGAAAGGGAGCAGAGAAGAGATATTGGACGATAGTTTGAGGCTTGTGATCGGGAGCCTTTACACTTGTAGATGGGCGTGACCTTAGCGATCTTCCAACGATCAGGAAATACGCCGGAGGAGTAGGAAAGGTTGAATATAAGGCACAGTGGGTACGCCAGAGATGGAGGGGGGAAATAGAGGGCAAAGCCTAAGCACGGGACCACGGTCTCTGTAACCGAATTATTGTTTGGCATCTTGCGCTGGGTGATGTGTGTCTATGTGTATCTAGCACCTGGCAGAGCGACCGTTGGCGCCAATGAGTGTGGTGCGGGGCTCCCAGGTCACCGTGGGTAGCGACGGCTCGGTCCATCAATTCGGCATCGACGTCCCACTTCACGGTGGCATCAGTGCATCGATATCAGAACAGCTGGGTATGAGGTGAGTCTGTCTAAAGCTGACATGGGACATGAGAAATATTATGTGGAGCTTGCAATGATGCTTTTGTGTTGGAGCTAGTTGTCAGGTCGTTGACTGTCCCAGTACCCTTGTCAGTTTTGCACCTTGTTGTTGCACTGTCTGACTGTATAATATCTCGTTACCTTGGTGGTCTGTTGGTCAAAACTCGTAACAGGTTATATATATATTTTTTGATCCTTCATCTTTTACATGAATATTAATGGCTCACCATCCGAGTTTAAAAGTGGTTCATTTTCCGTTAGATTTGGTTCTGATTTTGTTTCTCTGCTCTCTTCATCCATGTCCAGTCAGAGCAACCTTACTGAGTTACTGCTGGATGCGGACCACCCTGTAGTCAAGGACGTAAGTCAGTCAGTCTACTGATGAACACTTTCTCTGCTGCATGGTCAGCGGACTTAACCAGTCATGGATTTCACTGCTGAGTATTTCTTTCCTGACACGCAACGGCCCTGGGTTGAAACTGTGTCCTTGCAAGGCATTGTATGTGTACTTTGTGGCTTGTCGCTGCCGTGCGTCTATCTCTGGACTGAAGTAATGGTGGTGGTCTTATGTTGTTCACTGAAGATTGAAAGAATCCGGAATGCGATTGACAGAATGAAGCATGGCCTGTCTGACATGTTGCTACACCAAGGTGGGTCATCTATACACGTTGTTTTTAACCCTTTCAGGCTCACAGTGCATTTACCACGTCTGAGCACTGTGATTCAGTGCATCAGTACAATTGTGGAGATAGCAACAAACAAATTGAAAAACATGATTGTTTCGCAACGGATTTTCACTATTTATGGCTTACTGGAAAGCTCTTTTCCTGCTCGTCATCTTCCCCGTGCTTTCAGAGCATACAGCACCACAAGGGCGCCCTAGCCTCGCCAACAGTGTCCCTATCGTGCTCCAGTTTGGCATCAAGACCACGCACAACAATTTCTGTTGTACATGTGGCTGCGCGTGTAGCTCTTTGTCGTACATGCTGCTGCGTTTGTGTCTCTGTGTCGTACATGCTGCTGACACGTGCACCTTTTTGTGCTGATAGAGTACACCGCTTTTATGCTGATGAGAGCACCAATTTCCTAAATATGTTTCCTTTTGCCAGTTGTGAGATGTCACTTCTCTCGTCGGCTCTTGAAGTGTGGAACTGAAGAGCTTTCTCTCTCGGTGTCGAGAACAACTATTTTCCCAGTCCTTTTGTTGTGTGGCGTGGCGAGAGCATAGAGAAATAGTTTGTCCCTCGGTCCAGACGACACTTCGGTTCGGGGCTCATACTCAACGTAGAACTGCGATTCAAACTGAACCGAACTAGTGAGATTCAAGCGATTCAAACGATGTACTCATACGTCACGTTGCCTTTGACACGTCTTTGGGAAATCCCCTTGAATGCCTTGAAAGTCGCAAAAATCGCCGGACAGAAACTAAGAAAAATGTTCAGATCTAAATCGCGCGTTAAATTTATCGCCGCTCGCTCATTTGTTGAGCGATCGGCACACCGATAGGACATGTATGTATTACAGAACAAATCCACATCTTGACAACACAGAAGATGATCCTGCTCAACAAGCCACGGATCTGAGATAATCTCATAATGCAGTCATGATAATAAGTTCCGCCTCGCAAATGTCACACTTATCAAATGAACTGATCAAGTACTGAACGGCACTTTGCCTGAGTATCCCAATAATTATACCAATACCGCAGCCACCTGTTGTTGACTATACCTTTCGGTGCATCTGTTTCATACCTAAAATTTCAATACACCGAACAAACACTAACACACATAATCCAATAGGGAACTGCTTCTCTGTACCGAAAATTTCTGTTCACCTAACCTAGTCTGTTGACCTCATACCGAAAAAATTGAGCACTGAAAAGTTCTGAAATTAAAGTATCACTGTTCCTAACCTAGCGGGATGTCTCGTGATGTACTTCCGATGTTCATACGACAAGCCTTTTCTCACATTGTAATCGTACAATGCATTGCTGTGGTGGAATGTTTTAGGATGGACTGAAGAGGCTAAAGAGTTGCGGAACATCACAATCAGTCGACTGAAAATGGTAAGAAGTGGCTAGACTCTAGAAAGAACTAATAGAATTGTTCAATTTTGCGATGGGTGCGAATGAATATTTCCGTGCAGATTTTTCCTGCTTTTCACCATACTAAACCTTTTTGTTAGGAAAGCTTTTCACACTGTCCACGGGGTGTGACAGTGTAACCGCATCATAATGGGAAGATAATTTGTTTCACTAGATGCCTTTCGGATTTGTTACTCATGTTCTGTTCCTGAACTGCTTTCCTGCCTTGCATTCCCATGCTTGTAGGGCAGTTATCTTGAAGATTCAGTCCGCGAAATACGAATGAACATTCACAAAGGTGAGGCAATTGCAATGTTTGCTCCCACTGTTATGCGGTCATGCAGTGGCCAGGATTGTCAAATATGCTCACCCACCACAGAGTTATGGCTGTTTTTGAATAACTATAATATTATATACATCTATCAATGCTTATAGCACATTCACTTTCAAATGTGCTTTTCTCAACACTGCGCCAAACTACGCATGCCACCTTTTTTCCAGATCTGGGTGCTCCATTTCTACATCTAACTTCTGCTGCATTTGTATTTCTTGTGTCCTGCACCAGTACTTGATCAGCTGTATCGCAGTGTCCACCTAGCTTTAGAAGCCTATCCGAATGACAAGGTACACAGGATGACAGGTAGTACACACACACACACACACACACAGTATACAGTGTACTACCTTGCAGCTGTTCACAATGCAGAGTTGTACAGTACTGTCGGTCGCCGAAGAACTGGGGGGGGGGGGGGGGGGGGCAGCCTCCTCATGTAGACCGTTCATATTCTCATGTATTACAGTCTGTGTGCCGTCGAGTCACCGTGTGTACACTGGTATGCTGTGCTTGGTGACATTCTAGCCTGGTCGTTCTTCGGCGCTCCGTTCTTCGGTGCTCCGTTCTTCGGTGCTCCGTTCTTCAGCGCCCGACAGTACTGTAGATAATTTAAACCTATTCTTCTTTCTACTATTTATACTGGGTGTTAGTGTGGATAATTATTGTGCAGTTTAAGTCTGGCTCGACGTCAAACTGTACTCTAAGGAAATTATGGGTCACGTCAAGTATCCGTTATGTATGGGAATGTATGAAGGGTATCATCTTGATCACATGCCATGCCGCCACAAAGCACGCTAACAAAGTGTTTGATGGTATTGCCCACTTACAAACAGGGTTTCGCAATTCTGTGCCGCTTCAATTATCCGTTATGTATGTGAATGTATGAAGGGTATCGTCTTGATCACATGCCATGTTGCCACAAAGCACGCTAACAAAGTGTTTGATGGTACTACCCACTTACAAACAGGGTGTCGGGCTTCACATCTTTTGTACGCATACTTGCACAGCTTGATGTATCCGCCAATCTCCATGAAGCTACAGCTGCAGTCAAGGAGCTAGCCGAGGAGAACAATTTGATGAACGACCACATAGACTATCTGTGAGTACTAAGAGGTGCTTAGCACTGGATAGGAATTGCTTTGCACTGCACTGGCTATGGCAGTACGGTCAGACCTTGTTTAACCGCACACATCCGCTTTCCACAAAAAATATCCGGATAGGCGAGGGAACCGGATAGTCGAACACACAATCATGCTGTATGTATGCATGACATAGCTGTAAATCGGTGACCAAGGGTTTTCTTCCGGGTGGCAAGGGATCCGGATAAAAGAGGACCGGATAAGCGAGGTCTGACTGTATTGTGTGGTGGATGTTGTTTAGTTGGATTGAATACCAGCATGCGGGTTGTGTGGCCGAGTGTGCAGATCCTGTAGCTTCGTGTGCAGTGTTCATATACCGATACTCATACGTAGAGTTCAGATGCAAACCGTGGCATATCTCGTTCGTCACTTTCCAGATAATCGCCAAAAGGGTTCACTCTATGTGCGGTTTGTATAAAAATCCATATTTGGGTACAAGTTTTGAAGTGGTTCTAGTTGGATTTGAATTTGAAAATTTGTCTCAAAGAGCCTTACCTTGAATTTTACTGAGCTCAAAATGTCAGTTTCTCAAATTTGACGCTTGTCGCGTTTTGCGTCTATATTCTCCATACCCTGTTTTTTTTTACTCTGTTTCAGCCCATTGTATAAGGTAATGCAGTGTCATTGTAGTGAGCCATGCAATCTGGGAGTTAGTGATCCATAAGCTCAATAGCACTGTTAGCAATGATGTACAGTAAAACTGGTCAAGGTGACCACTCGGATAAGGCGACCGCCTGTTAAAGAAGACCACTGGAACCAGGACCAAGGGATGCTATTTCCAGTTAATTGACCCTGAATAAGGAGACCACCTGGTAACAGAGACTACCTGGTAACAGAGAATACATTTTGAAGGTCCCTTGAACGATCGTCTTACACTGTATGCCAATGTGTTGATCCCTGACATGCCTGGTTGCGACTGCCGGTATGCTGTGCTCATAGGAAGAAGCAGCTATGGATAAAGGATGGACTGCTGGATGGACGCACAACTCCAGACCGAGTTATAAAATTGTACGTGTGCCTAGGCCATATACATGTAGATTTGTTTGCAATGGTTTGATGGCATGGTAGTATTATTGAGATACTTCAGGGGTAATCACCAAATTCGGGTTGACCAACCAGAGGCAATTGGCCGAAATCCCTCATCCAAGTTATTTGGACGTCTTATCATGGTTCGGTGGCGTCCCACGTATGCGGAAAGGTGGTTCTTGACCCTCCCTACACACGGGTCTGATCATTTTATATCCATTCCATAGCAATCACATAACCAATAATTACCTCTTGTCAATTTCATATCTTTTGCTATTCTTTAGGCAGCGAGACGAGCTCGATGAGCTCCAAGAGACCGTGAAAACACTACGCTCGGTATGTATGGCTTGGTCCGTGTATGATTTTCATGACCTGAAGGTCACCCTAACGAGCCTCACTTCCACTATGTCCAGTGCCCGTGTGACTAATGATGCTTTTTGTTTTTCCTACATTGTGTACTGTATTTTCCGGAGTATACGCCGCACTGCAGTATAAGCCACACTCAGGGTTTTTGGCACGAAATACGGACATCTTCCCCATGTTATTTCGCAGTTCATTTAACCATCGTAGTACCGGCCGCAACAACATTTGTTTGGGTGAATTACGTTAAAATGCTGTTTATACCCTGGAAAATACGGTAATAATATGAGAATTCACATAGTACTCGTAGATGCTCACTGTGTTTCTACACATTGGCCATTGTAAGGCGGATGGCGTACACTATTGCAGTATATGTGAGATTTGTGTGCTTGCTGTATTTTGTGCTCAATACAACAGCGAGAGCAGTTTCAGGCAATGGAGCCACCAGCCTACCAGAAGCAGCCAGTAAGTTTGTGCTGTCTATCCAGATTCATGTACTGTAGTAGAACAGTCTTTGAAAGCCCAATTTTGGCCAAATCTGGTTTCGGGATCTGCTTTTAATTGCATGTTGCTGCGGTTCACGTATTCTAAGTCTGGTCGAATTTCTAACCGTCCCTCCTTTTCTGGCTTCGAAATGTGGCAAAGAAGTATTTCACGGGTCCCACTACACAGGATGTACACTAAGTCATGTTTACAGTACACCCACTACACGCACTACTATTGGTGCAAGGAGCATTGAGCACACTACAGTCACTACAATACTGACCCTACCGCACTTTTCGCCCAGTTCATCGAAATTTGATGCGATGGTTTTGGCCCTAGACTCTCAGAACGGTCATCAGGGAGTGCATGGACACCTTTCCGAGGCATGACCCCAATAGCTGAGCGTGCCAACTAGACAGAATGCATTCATGAATCTCTCAAACTCAGTAGAGAGCCAGTTTCACCGATTTCAGGGTCTTGCAAGCCTGCGTTAGGACTTGAAGTAGCTACTGAGATCACCGTTAGTCGACCTCATAAATACCCACCTCAGGTACAACGACATCTCATGGATAAAGGCCTTATTTTCAGACCAAGTAACCAGTTGACTTCATGCTTTTACCCTAACAAATATAGAAAACTTGTGAAAACCAAGGCTTTCATCGTGCCCAATCGAGGGTTGTCATTTGCAACGTTGACGTCACTCATTTCAGAATCTTTTTTTTGCCGAATGCTTCTATGCAGGTGAATGACTGGATACTGCATTTCACGAGGCAGGATGCCAAGTGTAACGAGTGTACTCTGTATCGGGGTGTCTTTGACAAGGTGATCAGCCCGGAAGAATACTCGGTAAGAAGTGGTCTCGAATTTCATGTACCTAGTGCCATCGCATTATCTGAATCCTCAATATACATTTTATTCTGTCCAATACTTGGTCCGCGTCAGCAATATTGTCGCTTATCTTTCGACAATTTGAACTTAGACTTTGGACATGAACGCGTGCACTTGAAGTGATACAACTTGGTACGATGGACGGTAAGGTATAGAATGACAACTAGCTGCGAGGAATTTATTGTCCAAGGAAGGGTTCCTACTTTTTTCGGTCCTCCTCGTCGCTGCTCTCGGCGCTGGCGACAAATATTTTGCTCGGGATCGACTCTCTTGCTTTTGCAAGCTCATCTCTCTTCCTCTCCGCTGCCTGGCTATTTTGTAAAGAGAAGTCGATCGTGACGGTCGCCTTCTCTATAGGACTTCGCCTGGGCAGCACGACAGCCTGTGTGGTTCAAATCAGACGCCGTTCTTTGCAAGATTTTATTTTGAACGACGACGACGCGTACAGTACATGTACTTGCAAATCTCCACGACGACGCGCTGGATACTTCGAGCGAGGAGCTGGAGGTAAGGGAGCTGCGATCTCAGATTGATGAGCGATCCCTGAGGTGAGCGATCTCGGCCGTTCAGCAAAATGGAGCTGATTCCGAGTAGTCGATTACTTTCTTGTGGCTTGCGCTGCTCTTGCCTGCACAGCGTAACAAGATAATCTATTTTGATGCGGCGCTGTATCAATCAAAATCACCCACCTGTCGCTCTCGAAATCCACTCGAACTCTAGCTACACCTTTCAGGTACTAGCAAACTAACTTGCCAACCAAAATTGGGATGAAATGGGCTGCCAAGTAAGCATTGGCGACATATAAACAAAGCTGAAAGATAAGCGACAATATCGCTGACGCGGACCAAGTACATTGTACAAGTTTCTTTGACCTTAAAAACAACATAGGGAAGTAGTACGTAACTAGTTAAAGTAAACTGGACGTAACATACTACGAAGTACTGTTCTTTTCTCAATTTGAATTATACCCCACCAGTCTTTGACAGTCTTTACAAAGTACCTCAGCTATACAATACCTCGGGTATAAATTGGCACATTACGATGGCCACTAGAAGTAAACTATTCCAACAAAAATTCACTGTGGCTTGAAGTATCCTCATATTCTTCTGTCTGATCGCAGTCTGGATAAATTGACTTTGGGCTTTACGATCAGATATTCAGTATAGTTTGAGTACAGATCAGAGTATGTGTGTGTTTGTGTGTTTATTATGTGTGTGTTTGTGTGTGTATGTGTGTTTGTGTGTGTGTGTGGGGGGGGGGGTGTGCGTGTGTGTGAGAGTGTGTGTGTGTGTGACATGTGTGTGTAATGTATGTGCGTGGGTGTGGGTGTGAGAGGGTGTGTGTATATATACATGTCTGTGTATATGTGCGTGTGTGGGTGTGTGGGTGTGTGGGTGTACTTGTCTGTATACATGTATGCTATTCAGGAAATGGTACTTGCCATGCGAGAGTACAACCGTCTTCCTGTTGAGAGACTTCAGATACTCGCACAACGCCGGCTCCTCCGAGAGGCCATGGAGAGAAACAAGGCATTCAGTATGTATATCTATCCCCCCCCCCCCTCCTGCATGTGAGCATGTATACTGGACTACTTTTTACGGTGTGTCTGATCTTAATCTACTCACTTCTCGCTCCCTTAGTAGCTGTACCTTCGCCTTGATTCCTGCGAGTGGGGGTGTGACGGCAGATGCGGAACAGGCAGTCTTTCCAAATCTGGCTCAAACCAGTATAAATACAAATGTTTGGAAATATTCAGAAGGACAGCACTTCCTTGTTTTCGGAAATGCCTGGCTGAGAGCTGATACGATCATACAAATTGCACAGAATCGTGCTGGTTTTACACAGAGGCAGAAGGATAGATCATGTTGTCCACCATTGACTCTGGCGTATCAACCCACAACACAGCTTGGTTCCTGTGGCACATTGGCGTAATTTGTTTTGTGTTTGCCTACAGTTGCTGAGGAGATGGCTTCGGTCACGTTCCATTGTCAGGCCAAAGAAGTTCTTTTGAGAAGGGAAGCAGAGGCAAGCATGAACATGGTGTTGCAAAGGGTGAGTTGCAAGGAGTTTCATTGAAATTGGTCAAAACTACAGTAAAACCTGCCAAGGCGACCACTCGGATAAGGCGACCACCTGTCCCAGAAGACCAATGCAGCCGGGACCAAGGGTTGCTATGTCCAGTCAAATGACCCTGGATAAGGAGACTACCTGGTAACAGAGACCGCATTTTGAAGGTCCCTTGAGCGGTTGTCTTAGACAGGTTTCACTGTACTACCTCAAGAGCGCATTGTTAACATTGATGAGAAGAGCGAATTCAGTGCAGTTCGACGAAAGCAGGGTCCATGAATGATTTACCACCCTTTTCCAGCCTCAAACTCAGTCACACTTTGCAAGCCCGGTCTCTGCAGTGTCAGACGGTAACTGACTGCTAGTGGCCGGCTTCCCTTGATCAGCATTGCCAGTATTAAAAACTTTGGTAAATGCCGTGCAGGTACGCCCTCTAAAATTAAACCAGCAGAGATGCATTCACTACATAGAAGTGGAAAATGAAATCGAACCCAATCAATAGAGCAGAGGTGCGGTTCACTGCATAGTCCACTGTTTACCGTGCTTTGGCAGTGCAACCCTGGAACTGGTATAGTCTTGAGGCTGGATTTCGCTCGTAACCACTATCCATGGAGATGTGATACATAGAAATGTACAGTGTTGCTGAATGAAATCCAGTTGCGTCACTCAAGCACACATTGAGTACTGAAAGGCAGGTGGACTCCCCCATTGTGGTAAGCATAGACATATAACAGAAGCATTTATGACAACGCAAACATTGATCAATCTTTTGACCCGTTTACGCCATGAATTTAATAAAGTAATCATACCAATGATGATGTCGGTAGAGACAGTATGACATTTGTTGTATGTGCACGTCCTTGTTGGGCGCTCAAAGCTGTGTTTACTGTTTGCATTCCTAATATCTTTTCAGAGAGATGACCGGCTCGCCAGGGAAGCAGCAGCATTATCTAGATCAAGACAGTCTCTGGGCAAGGCGCTATCTGAGAGGATGCAGGGACTTGAAGACACTAGTGATGTTCTGCTGGTACGGCCGGCGTTTGCTTCTTCCATTCGGTGAGCAAATGATCCCGGGAAATGTAGACTAACTCCTGAATCTGCACCATCAAGCCAATTTCGTATCGCAATCCTAGATTGGCTAGGGTACCCCGTAAGGAGACCCTAGGTCTGTGGGGACTGCCCTAGAGAAATATGAATAAATACTATACTATACTATCAAGCATGGCGTTTTGTCAAGCAATTCTTCCAAGACAACGAGCATAGGTAGATATGCATTTCATAGTATAAATGCAATGGTAGTTGCCGTGGAAATACCTTCCCATGGATTCTCAGATGTAGGGCACCATAAGCTGGTAACTACCCAGCCCCTTCATATGCTCTGGTCTGGTGCAAAGGTTCTATTCAAGGATAAGTTTGAAGTACAGTAAAGCCTGGTTAAGCGACCTCTCGTTTTAGCGACCACCTGCTCTTAACGACCGTTTCTCCATGCACGGACAGTTCTACACAGACACTGTGGGACCTGGTTCTAAAGACCACCTGGCTTTAACGACCGCTTTTCCTTGCACCGTGGGGCGGTCGCTTAAACGAGGTTTTAGTGTACTTCTAGTCCTGTAAAAAAGGGTGGTCTTTGCAGCAATAACCGGCAGGCATGGTAGCCCAGTACCTACAGTCCATTCAGAAAAAGATGGGCCCTGGCTCTGGCAAGCTCCCGTGTTTGGCGATTATTCGTGATTTCATTGTACACAGTGCAGTGCTGCGAAATTTGAACTTTGAAAAAGAGTCCAAAATGTGTACCTGAACTGGGGTTTGAACCCCACAATGCACTGTTGCAGGCAGGGTCAAACGGCCTGGATTTTGATGGTTTTTCCCAATTCAATGCTTCTGGGGCAAAACCTGGCCGATATCCTATTCCTGGTATGGCTTGCTTTTTGGACAAATAGACTTCGGAAACATAATTGGAAGAGGATTCCATAGGGGATTGCAGAAAAAAATTCTAAAAAAACTCAAAGTTTGACCCATTTATGGCCAAAAGCTAGAAGTCCATCTTTTTCTGAATGGACTGTAGGGAGATAAAACGTGCAACTAGGACGTGACATGAAGTGGGTTTCGCTTCCGGTTTGCCTGTTCCGGATGTCCTTGCTGATTTGCCCACGCTCAGAATAATAAACGACACATCACTTGTCTGGGCCATGTTTAGGGTCAGCAGGTCAAGTCTGCAATTGCAAGTGGCATAGACCATGGATCATGAAAAATTCAAAATCCATGGTTGAAACACAACTTCTTCTGATTACTGTAACCATAACCTTGTGTCTTCCTTGATTGCACATGGATTGAATTGTCATACTACAATACCATGGAGGTTTTGTGTGCTATTTCCTCTTCCAGTGATCCATCTGGAGCAAACAGGCGAGAGGCTGCTGTCCGGCTGGGCATACCATCGCCTAGCTTATCCAGAGCAAGTGAGGGTGGCGAGGTTGAGCTTCCACCGCTGCCAGGGAAAGCGGATGACTCCCGGCTCAATCGCCCGCTGCGGACCATCGGTGTAACGCCTTCAACGGTGGGTGCTCCGCCACCCACGGCTCAAGGCCATCACCCGAACGAGGTGGAGAAACACCATAAGAAACCTTCTCAGCGAGGAAAGGACAATAAGCAGCGAGCAGGCGTACGGGGAAAGAAAGCTGCAGCCAGCACAGAGGAAGTGGTAAAGATGTGGTGTCCTGAATCGACCTTCCCCGATAGCCAAGGGACTGAAGCCAATGCGCAAAACCTGCCTCAGGTCATGACTTCACTTATTGATGCTGACCAGAGGCGTTTCAGTTATGAACTGTCTCTTCCCAGGTGAGGAATTTCCACTGACATTGCAACCATTCACCCTGAGCATCTCAGAAAATTGTTTTGAATGAAAAGAGCGGGACAAGGTTGAAGTATTCAACAAACAAGAGGTCTCGACAATACGGTCCTCTCTGACTTAGTCTTTATTCTCAAGTTTATATGTGAAAAAGAACACACACCTGACTAAAGACAAATACCAAGAAAGATGAAATTAGTAACTTGTAGGAAGGACAAAGAGAGCAATAGCTACAGAAGTTCGTAGTTGGCAGAACAATCTATTAAAGGGGAAGTATATCCTAAAATCAATGTTTCACCAGTTGTAGTCTTCGGGGTGCTGAGTCGAATGGTCTTGGTCCGAGGAAGCTGAGACGCTCCCTTCCTCCTTTATTCCCAATCGAACTCGCGCACTTCCACCGAAACTGGGTGACTGCGCCCTACTAGATGGGGATTTGTATGCAAAATCTCACTAAAAGTGCTATGTCGTTCTTATAAAAGCACGGATGACCGCGATTGGCCCATATGTTGTAGCCTTTTGGACGCTGAGTCGACTGGTTTTGGTCCGAAAAGGCTGCGATGCAGCGTTCCTCCTTTATTCCCAATCGAACATGGTTGAACAAGCGGTCACGTGCTCCTGCGTACGCCAGTCACCTGGTCACCGTGCCTGCTGGGTACAACTTACTAGCCTGTTTGACCTTTTTTTGGGTGCAGTCCTGTCACTCGAGTTGAACCTTGGTGTGAAAGTTGTCGCCTGCTGGCGTGGTGACCAGGTGATTTGGGCACCCAGGAGCACGTGACCGCTTGTTCAACCATGTTCGATTGGGAATAAAGGAGGAACGCTGCATCGCAACCTTTTCGGACCAAAACCAGTCGACTCAGCGTCCAAAAGACTACAACATATGGGCCAATCGCGATCATCCGTGCTTTTATAATAACGAAATGGCGCTTTTAGTGACATTTTGCATACAAATCCCCATCTAGTAGGGCGCAGTCACCCAGTTTCGGTGGAAGTGCGCGAGTTCGATTGGGATTCAAGTAGAAAGGGAGCGTCTCAGCTTCCTCGGACCACGACCATTCGACTCGGCACCCTGAAGACTACAACTGGTGAAATTTTAATTTTTGCCTTAACTTCCCCTTTAATAAGTAGTATTGAGTGGGGCTGAATACCCACTAGAGCAGCTGTGTAGGTGGGGCGTTGTGAGATCTACCAACCAAAGGTGATGGTATCCTTGCACACCAGGAAAAACGGGGGGGGGGGGGGGGGTAAAAATCAGGGTTGTCAGCCATTGCTGTCTCGTCACCTGATGAGCACATCACCCTCCCCCACTGCCCCCCCCCCCCCCCCCACCACCACACCGCAATTTCCCTCCGCAATGTGCAACATACCCGCCTCTCTCCCTCTCTCTCTTCCCCCTAACTTACCCTCGTACTAACCTTTTGTTCCATTGGCTTGGGTAGCTACTTGCGCGCCCTTGGTTGCCATAGTAACCCAAGCCCTTTATCTTGTATTCTCTCCCACTCGATCTCGTTCTCTTCCATTATGTAGTCGTTCGTCTTTGTCTCCGTCCCATCGCCTCCCATAATAAATGTCATTACTTCTACCTGTTCCAAGTTGTTCCGTTGTGTCTGGAAGTATGACTCCTTTTAGTATCCCAACAGTATGGATAAATTGAGGTGAATGCGTGTGAGGAGCAAAGCTACATTTTACCAAAAATAAAACAATATTCTTTCCACCAAAGGCGCATTTTTTTGCTCTCCCCGGCTTATCTAATGAAATACCCAGCCACCAAGCAAAACCTACCGCCTACCCAGAACGAGTCAGCATTCATTCCTTTTATAAATGCATTGATATCAAGCATTTCAGCTTGTCATTGTCCTTTGCAGCTACTCCGGCAACTCGGCATCTTTACCTGGAAAACAATTGAGGGTGTACCGATCCCTGACGCGGCCCTCGCAGGACATAGACGGTGAGCTCCATTGTACATGGAAGGAAGAATTTTAAAAGCAGCTCCATTGTACTTTCATCTGATTTACTTATCTCTCCTTTAAAAGGAAGGGGATGCTTTTTGGACGTCTGGCCCAGGTATCCATATTTGCAAAGTGATTTGATGTCTACGTCTACATGTACGCTGGCTATGCGATGTTGGATTCAGTTGTACTATAAAACTCCTAGTTCACTCTTGCCCTTTGTTCCAGTATTGTGTGGAGGATCCAGGCGACTTCATAAGCCAGGAGTATGCCACCTAATGTGCACATTTCATCCATACTTAAAGTTCCAGGTGAAGTATGCCACCTAATGTGCACATTTCATCCATACTTCAAGTTCAAGGTGAAGTATGCCACCTCTTTCTAGTTCTTCAACAGGGCTTAGTCTCACACAAATCGTGCTATACTTTCTGGCTCCATGTTTCATGTACGACTACACATACTGGAGCTATGAACTTTTAAAATAATAATCCTTTAGTGCAGAAGAAAGATCATAGTGTCAATGCAGTCTGTTGTGTACTTCTGCTCCCTTGTGCCCTTCAGCATCTAAATCCGGCAAGGAAAAGGGACAGCGCACGCCAAATGCACCACCTGGGACGACGGCCGATCTACTGGCGTACGCTCGCAAACGATCGCTGCAACTCCAGGTCGACGGAAAGCACCCGAGGCACGCACGGTCGGTCACGCTGCCCCCGATTCTCAGCGCACAGATGGCAGAGGAGTCGGCCAAAGTACCCGTGATGCGCGGCAAGAAACTGATGCCTCCAGGAACTCAGTAACTTAGATGGGCTGACTCATGCAGGTTAAAACATGTACAAGTGATCGGGGCTTGAGTTCAGCCAACGACAAAGCGAATTGCCTTTGTCTACATTTAGGTGCTGTTTTCAAACACTCTTCATTAGCTCCAACAATATAATTTTCAGAAGTACATATACATGTACATTCCTGATGCATGGACAATAGCTGACAATCCTAAGTCAAGTATATTATCTATTTAAATCCAGCCAGTCTGCTTCGAGAAAGTCTTTCGATTTGAAGTGAGGTCTGATCGCCTCGATCTGTTGTGTGACTTCTGTATGGGATTCAATGAAGTCAATGATCACAGTCCGTAAACCTAGGTCAACTGCAGCAGTAGCCACCAGTCATTTTAATAAAAGGAAAAAGAAAAAAAAATATGTCTTTGTATTCTACCGTCAATCAGCATGTGCATGTAAGGGGTGTCGGACACGGTACGGTCACTACGGTACTGACCGTACCACTCCCCCCCCCCCCCCCCCCCCCCGGTAGATCTACACCGTGAATCAATGAAATACACCGTCATCTGATCTGGGCTACTTCAGTAAAAATTTCCAAAATTTTCCGCTCAGCCACCCCTCCCACACGAGTAAATTGTACTTCAGATAGCTGACAATACCACACTAAAATACCTTCGGACGCCCCGAATATTGCGACGGCAGAACAAGCTACGCAGTTGCCATCAAGTTTTCCGATCATATCTAGTGGCCCGTTATCATCTAGCCAGCTTGTTGTTTATGTACTTCGAAGTACTCTCAGTGAAGCATGGTGTATGAATGTACTCTTTTCGTGTGTGCGTGTGTAGCCAATTGAGTCATCTTTCCAAAATTCCTTTTGAGTCTCTCTTCCCTCTCCCGGGGAGACCCGCGTGACCAGTTTTGGCAGTGATAAAGTACAAGACTTAGTACAAGTGTGTGTGTGTGTGTGTGTGTGTGTGTGTGTGTGTGTGTGTGTGTGTGTGTGTGTGTATTATGTGTGTGTGCGCTGCTGCTGATCTGAGTGCAGGGACTTCTGTCGGCCCAATGATCTAACTCGCCACAGGAAATACTGCAACTTCTGATGCTATCATTGCACGGAGCAATGGGCATCCAAAGGTCCAAAGGTGTGTGTGTGTGTGTGTGTGTGTGTGTGTGTGTGTGTGTGTGCGTGCGTGCGGGTGTGTGTATGTGTGGGATAGGTCCTGTGGTCTACTGAAACGCCGATAGGCAATGCAGAAGAAGCATACATGTACATGTAGACCGTAGCTTCTTCCGCATCGTTTGCGCTCGGCGTTTCAGTAGACTACAGGACCTATCCCGTCATCGCCCGTACTGTTCCGAACCAGCTCAACCCCCCATGCCCATGGGGTCCACATAGCCAGAATATGGCAGCGCGTCCAAGGTCCAAAGACAAGTGTGCACATAATAATTATACAAATAATCGACGCGGAGACAACAATTTTATAATAGCTATAAAGAGAACAAATTCTGCTGTCATCGCCACACTACAACATTGTCACTATAACACAATGCACCATAACAACACAAGAAAGTACACCACAACAACATCCAGCTCAAGACCAAAGTGGACGCTGCGACGAGGTGATCATGGTGATGCCCCCATCGCCATCGTTGCCGTTGCCTCCCCCAGAACCGCCACCTGCATCTGCCATCGGCAGTGCTGGGGCTGAGTCTGTGGTGTCGCTGGCACGGGCAAATATGGATGAGGTAAGCACTGAACATGAACAAGAAGAAAGAAGGCTGAAGGAAACGGAATTCAACAGAGAAAACAACACGATCAACATTCAAAGACCTAGACGATCAACGGCTAATTATTCAATGAATTATTACAGTACTTGAAAAGGCGACGAGGAGATAACAACTTTATTAATGCGATTAATAATATAAGTGAAGCGGACATTACAAAATGATGAATGAGAATACATGTATCTAAAATGGTTGTTCCTAATCGATTTTCTTGAGACTATCATCAGGGAAAATCGTCTCACAATAGAGGCTATACGGAGAAACAAACTACTTATAGGTTATCGGATAGTGGGAAGTATACAAGGTGAGGTGTGAAAAAAACTAAAGTGGGAGAGAAGACGAAAGAAATTAGAAGAAAAGATGAGAGTGTTCTGACGGTGTGAGCTACTACAAAAGGTGAGTGAAATGAAGGCGTGGAAGCAGGTGAATGTGATAGAGTGAGGAACTGTGAGGTGTAGGTGTATGCGAATGAATACGTGTGTGAATGCTAGGTGAAGAGTCTCAGTTTTGTGACATTTTCTTTCTGAATGCATAGATTAGGATTGTGTTTACGGATGAAAACAGCTTCTAATACCTTAAGTTCACGAAACCTACGAGCACGACACAAAACAGTGAAGCATGAATCATCATACACTGAGCGGCATTGGCTACTAGACAAGAGGTGTTTCTTAATGGCTGACCCTTTCGTTGTGGTCTCACCTTCAGTCCGGTCATCTTCATCTTGGTTGTCCAACTCACTCTCTTCATCACTGCTCTCACCTTCCTCATCCTCCTCCGCTTCCATCCCGTCCTCTGCACCCAACGACAATCCCACGCTACTGCTCACTGCCAGTCGATGTCCGGTTGTAGATGCTATTACCAGCGCACGAGTCATGCTCCTAGTTACTGGTCTCCGTACCTGTGTTTGGCCATTTCCTTCAGTCTCTCGTACCTGTGTACTTGTAGTCCGTTCAACCGGTACTGTGTGGTTCTGTTGTAATTGTGCAACTGGCACCTGTTTGCGGGGACGGCCTCGTCCAGGTCGCTGGGCTTTGGCTCCATCTGACAATAGGTACAATGGTACATGTTGTTTGACGCGTGCGTTCAGGTGCTGAAGGGTTCTTCCTACATATCGGCTATCACAATGCCGACATTCAAAATGATAGATTACATGGCTAATCAGTTGGGTAGGAAGAACATCCTTCTTCACCGTGAACGCACGGGCCGTAGTAAAGACTGTTGTCAATGCTGTGGCAAAATAGGTTTGTCTGACAACAGTCCTCACGGCGCGGGCCACATCCAGCGAAATTTGACCTTTCCATGGAAGTCGTAAAAACTCTTCACCTAGCATTCACACACGTATTCATTCGCATACACCTACACCTCACAGTTCCTCACTCTATCACATTCACCTGCTTCCACGCCTTCATTTCACTCACCTTTTGTAGTAGCTCACACCGTCAGAACACTCTCACATCTTTTCTTCTAATTTCTTTCGTCTTCTCTCCCACTTTAGTTTTTTTCACACCTCACCTTGTATACTTCCCACTATCCGATAACCTATAAGTAGTTTGTTTCTCCGTATAGCCTCTATTGTGAGACGATTTTCCCTGATGATAGTCTCAAGAAAATCGATTAGGAACAACCATTTTAGATACATGTATTCTCATTCATCATTTTGTAATGTCCGCTTCACTTATATTATTAATCGTATTACAGTACTGGATGTCAAGCACCACAAAGACACTGGGAACAGAAGATTTAGCAACAACAGGAACAACAACAATGACAACAACAACAATGGTAACAAATTACCATCAAGATCAAAGGAGGAGTCAACGAACAGAGGTTCAGCAACGTGAAGCGAGCCAGGGACCGATCGGTGGTGATGACGAGAATGACACGGAGGACGACACTGAGGACGAGTTGGAAGATGAGACGGGGGACGAGGTTGCGGTTGGTGGAGACGAGGAATCTGATGGTGATTGTGATCGTAAGAAGTCTGCCGTTTTTCTTCATCTGTTGTCTCACCCTAAGTGTCTGCAGGTGTATGATGATTTTAATTTTTCTGTTCTTTGCCGTGCACGGTACGCTAGTCAGTTGAAAGTACTTGAGGCTGTTTGTATTCGTTTGCATAAGCCTGATCTTTGTAAGCAGAAGAAACATGTAGTTGCGTTAAGATTGTTTTCGTAGGTGCACAGCATGATTGTTTGTCTCACTACACAGTTCTAGCGTTGCAATTAGTTCCTCACCCCTGTTGCACTTAGCTCTCACTTTACTTCTATTGTCTCACCTTCCCTCATTCTATTTTTAGCACTTTGTTTTGTTCTCGTAACACATTATTGAATGTATATATGTTGGACTCAGTAGAGCGTCCAGCCCCTATATGATGTCCAACCCCTATATAGAGTCCATTGGTCCAAAATCCACTGTACAGAGTCCAAACTTGGAATCAACTGTGAGCTCAAAGTTTAGATGGACATCACTCCATGTATAGAGTCCAGCCAATTGGCTTCACCCCTATATAGAGTCCATTGGTCCAAAATCAACTGTACGGAGTCCAAACTTTGAAATCAACTATAAAGATTAAAGAGTCTTATGTGGACAACACTCCCTGTATAAAGTCCAGCCAATTAGGCATCCCCTATCGAGTTCGAAATTAGACATAGGATCTGCTGTAAGCAGTGAATATTAACCAGAAAACGGCCTCTCCCTTTAATCCTTTACATCATTCACTTCTCAAGGTAAAAAATATGTGTTGGACTCAGTAGAGCGTCCAGCCCCTATATGATGTCCAACCCCTATATAGAGTCCATTGGTCCAAAATCCACTGTACAGAGTCCAAACTTGGAATCAACTGTGAGCTCAAAGTTTCGATGGACATCACTCCCTGTATAGAGTCCAGCCAATTGGCTTCACCCCTGTATAGAGTCCATTGGTCCAAAATCAACTGTACGGAGTCCAAACTTTGAAATCAACTATAAAGAGTCTTTATGTGGACAACACCCCCTGTATAAAGTCCAGCCAATTACGCATCCCCTATCGAGTTCGAAAATAGACATAGGATCTGCTGTAAGCAGTGAATATTAACCAGAAAACGGCCTCTCCCTTTAATCCTATACATCATTCACTTCTCAAGATTAAAAAATATGTATTGAGGCGCCACTGCAGCCACTTCATTACATGAAAAACCCTACAAACACCATCCTCAAATCAAGTGGTCTCTTCGCAGACGCTGCAAATTACAATATCTCAATCATGTAGTGTTGCCAAATTATTGTGCACGCACACATACATGCACACACCCACACAACGCCAAGAAAATACCTAGAAAAAAACCAAGAATCGAAAGAGAATAATGGAGAGCCCAGGATTAATTATTTGTTTTCAAATTATTGTGCGCGCGCGCGCGCGCGCGCGCACACACACACACACACACACACACACACACACACACACACACAAACTTATACAACGCCAAGAAAACACCAAGAAAAGAGTAGAGACACAATACACACGCAACTCCAACAGCCATGCAAACGCCCACCCATTTACATGTAAAGTCAAGATGGGTAACAAATAATTATACGAAACGAATGCATACGGGGACGGGTACACGCACGTTTACATACACGTAGTAGTGTAAGAGAGTAACATAGTGCAGTGGTCAGCATAATACTAGCACATGCTGAGAGTGCAATAGCAAGCTTCACCATTGCTCATGGCCATGCAAATGTTCAGCAGCACTCAGTTCCGCAAGCTTCTGAAGATCAGCACACCTGCAACCAATAGATAGCACAAGGATATGCTTATTACCGTAATGATGCATTGGAGCACACAACTACCAAGTTCTCAACGAATGTGATGCTCAATGAAAGTCAACCCACTCAAAGACCTGTGAACAGGTGACGGTGGGGACAATAATCTATTAGTAATATGAGGAATAAGATCGTTTGTGCACACTCAAGACGCACAGACACACCAACATACATGTAGTGTACACAGTGTTTCACTTCACTGCAACTAAATTCAAATGAGATGATTTGAACAATCTGTACAGCGTTGCTGTCAGCCACGGTCTTCCCCAAGATGGAAATGCAATGATTTGTTGTCACGAGACAGTTTCACTGACACAATGTCATGTTCGTGACATCAAAACGGTTACTTCAGGGAATATGAGTATTAGCTTGAGAAGCTTTTTCTTGTCATTGGCATACAAGCAATCCTCCTAGTCCTACTACTACTACTAGTACACTGGCACTGCGTTTGTGGATCCCATTGTATTTGACATCATACTACAAGAAGAGTGTCGTGGAGTTCACATAATTATCACAGGGATAAAAATACATTTCTCATGAAATAAAATAATAATTGATGATAGCTAGACGATCATAATACGATTGATGCAAAGTCCTTGCAGTCCTCGAGGACTATTACGAAGTCGTTGATTACTTTTAGTGCATTCATTCAAGCAACATCAAACAAACGCGATACGCTCCTTGAAAATGGAAAAAAATTCAAGCATAACGACAGAACAGCAGACCAATCGAAACGAGTAAAAGCTTCCTTACCTCAGTCATCGTCCTGCCATGTAGTTGGACAGCCTTTTGACACGGTGGTACAGGCAGCTCTTGTCCAGTCAAACAGGGGTATCCTTGTGGCGTCGAACGAAAGAGAGTGTCAGTGTATCTGACTCGTCAGATTGCAACTGTGCTGAACTTTTCTCTTTCTCCGCTTTCTGCTTTCATCCCTCGCTCTGATGAAACCGTTCAAACGTCTTACTGGCAGCAATGGCCAGCCAAACAGGGGATCCTTGTGGCGTCGAACGAAAGAGAGCGTCAGTGTACCTGACTCGTCAGATTTGAACTGTGCTGAACTTTTCTCGTTCTGCAATTTCTGCTTTCATCCCGCGCACTGATGAAACGTCTTCAGAGAACCACAAGACGCTTTCCAGATTTGATTTTGAACGTCTCCTTATCCTCCTTGGTTACATCGAGACAGATTACTGTCAGCAACTGCACAGCAGAATTGGCAGCCATGGCTGAAGTGAAGAAAGGAATGCGCTGCCACGAGGCAAGCAAAACTGAAAATGTGTTTGTTCTCTTTCGGGCACAACACACAGGACGGCGTGACTGGGTAAACTGGACTCCTGGACTGTGAATAGGGGACTTGTAGAAAAAGTGTACTCCTTATAGGGGATTGCGCGGCAGGATGAAGCTGATCAAAACTGAGGGGACTCCTGGACTCTGTATAGTGGATTTTGGACCAATGGACTCTATATAGGGTGCTGGACATCATATAGTGCATGGACTCTATACTGAGTCCTACATATGTATTGAGGCGCCACTGCAGCCACTTCATTACATGAAAAAGCCTACAAACACCATCCTCAAATCAAGTGGTCTCTTCGCAGACGCTGCAAATTACAATATCTCAATCATGTAATAATAATAATATTCGCGGGATCCGCGTTAGCATCACTTGAATGTTCAGAAACACACAAGCTATAGCCTTCGCTTCCGCAGGCCACCACTATGCCTTTACACCTTAGTGGCGTTGCCAAATAATTGTGCACGCACACACACACATGCACACACCCACACAACGCCAAGAAAATACCTAGAAAAAAAAACAAGAATCGAAAGAGAATAATGGAGAGCCCAGGATTGATTATTCGTTTTCAAATTATTGCGCGCGCGCTCGCGCGCACACACACACACACACACAAACTTATACAACGCCAAGAAAACACCAAGAAAAGAGTAGAGACACAATACACACGCAACTCCAACAGCCATGCAAACGTCCACCCATTTACAAGTAAAGTCAAGAGGGATAACAAATAATAATACGAAACGAATGCATACAGGGACGGGTACACGCACGTTTACATACACGTAGTAGTGTAAGAGAGTAACATAGTGCAGTGGTCAGCATAATACTAGCACATGCTGAGAGTGAAATAGCAAGCTTCGCCATTGCTCATGGCCATGCAAATGTTCAGCAGCACTCAGTTCCGCAAGCTTCTGAAGATCAGCACACCTGCAACAAATAGATAGCACAAGGATACGCTTATTACCGTAATGATGCATGGGAGCACACAACTACCAAGTTCTCAACGAATGTGATGCTCCATGAAAATCAATCCACTCAAAGACCTGTGAACAGGTGACGGTGGGGACAATAATCTATTAGTAATACGAGGAATAAGATCGTTTGTGCACACTCAAGACGCACAGACACACCACCATACATGTAGTGTACACAGTGTTTCACTTCACTGCAACTAAATTGAAATTCGATGATTTGAACAATCTGTACAGCATTGCCGTCAGTCAGTCTTCCCCAAGATGGAAATGCAATGATTTGTTGTTACTAGGCAGTTTCACTGACACAATGTCATGTTCGTGACATCAAAACGGTTACTTCAGGGAATACGAGTATTAGCTTGAGAAGCTTTTTCTTCAAAAAGTGTCATTGGCATACAAGCAATCCTCCTACTACTACTAGTACACTGGCACTGCGTTTGTGGATCCCATTGTATTTGACATCATACTAGAGGAATAGTGTCGTGGAGTTTCACATAATTATCACAGGGATAAAAATACATTTCTCATGAAATAATTATAAAAATTGATGATAGCTAGACGATCGTATACGATTGATGCAAAGTCCTTGCAGTCCTTGGGGACTATTACGAAGTGGTTGATTACTTTTAGGGCATTCATTCAAGCAACATCAAACAAACGCGATGCGCTCCTTGAAAATGGAAAAAAAATTTCAGCATAACGAAAGAACAGCAGACCAATCGAAACGAGTAAAAGCTTCCTTACCTCAGTCATCGTCCTGCCATGTAGTTGGACAGCCTTTTGACACGGTGGTACAGGCAACTCTTGTCCAGTCAAACAGGGGTATCCTTGTGGCGTCGAACGAAAGAGAGTGTCAGTGTATCTGACTCGTCAGATTGGAACTGTGCTGAACTTTTCTCTTTCTCCGGTTTCTGCTTTCATTGGCCTCGCTCTGATGAAACCGTTCAAACGTCTTACTGGCAGCAATGGCCAGCCAAACAGGGGATCCTTGTGGCGTCGAACGAAAGAGAGTGTCAGTGTACCTGACTCGTCAGATTTGAACTGTGCTGAACTTTTCTCGTTCTGCAATTTCTGCTTTCAACCCGCGCACTGATGAAACGTCTTCAGAGAACCACAAGACGCTTTCCAGATTTGATTTTGAACGTCTCCTTATCCTCCTTGGTTACCTCGAGACAGATTACTGTCAGCAACTTCACAGCAGAACTGGCAGCCATGGCTGAAGTGAAGAAAGGAATGCGCTGCCACCAGGCAAGCAAAACTGAAAAGGTGTTTGTTCTTTTTCGGGCACAACACACAGGACGGCGTGACTGGATAAACTGGACTCCTGGACTGTGAATAGGGGACTGGAAGAAAAAGTGTACTCCTTATAGGGGATTGCGCGGCAGGTTGAAGCTGATCAAAATTGAGTGGACTCCTGGACTCTGTATAGTGGATTTTGGACCAATGGACTCTATATAGGGTGCTGGACATCATATAGTGCATGGACTCTATACTGAGTCCTACATATAAATTATTGATTTGGCATGGTTATTCTTCAGTCACGGCTTTCCACTGATGAATTGTGACAAGAAAATCGATTTTGGTAAACCTTCATGACTTTGTTGTAGTGTGGCGATGACAGCAGAATTTGTTCTCTTTATAGCTATTATATAATTATACAATCATGTATGTGTGTGTAGTGACCTACCCATAGACTTTATATGTCATTTCTGGCAGGAGAAATCCGACCTCATGAACAAAGTAGCCTCAGCTCAGCCTCAGGTACGGTGTGCAGTGGTGGCCAGTGTGCTACATGACTTTGTGTACTACTACACGACTTGTAGTACTAGTACTACTAGGGCTATGTAAGGACGCATATAAATATCATGAATATAGCCCCTCGTTTATATTCATGGTGTCGGATTTCTCTGGCCGGGACTACCAGATCAGAGTACTTATCCACCAACGCAGTCCACCAGATGCGTGACCATGGTGACTGCCACTGACTGTCTGTACTGGTCAGAGTAGAGGTTTCATCAGTCATTTGCGTAGTCATCGACTCATCGTGGTCATTCATCAGGTGCTTGGCTCTATGCATCACCATCTGATGTCATTCGGATGATCAAGCATCGGTCTTGACATCAGATCTTCATCACAAAGCTGACCTGCATTCGTTCTTACGTCATAGCGTGTGACTATGTCCGAAGCACATGTGCACACACACACTGAACCATCTCTTCGCTGTCGTCAAAAGAAGCGGACGCACTCCTTCTCCGCCAGTTTCTAGCGTCGTTGTGAGCGAGGTGTTCTTCTTGTTTCAACAGTCGCTGTTCTACGAATTCGGTGCGGATTTTCACAAACAAATTTCAAGATGTCGATGTACCCATCTCTAGAGGATATGACGGTGGATAAGATGGCCAGGGTAAGCTTGCATTGTCATCGACGTGCGTGTGCGATGAACAGGATACGGAACGAGTGTCTTTGTCTCTGCTGGTTTGGATGTGCTACAGGCGCAGGTCACCAATTCGCAGCCCGCCGCTGCTGCACCAGTGGCCATGGCGGTCAGTGCACCGACGGCCGTTGTGACGGAGATCACGTATCCGACGCTCTATCCATCACTGGGCGATATGGGCCTGGAGTTGCCCGCAGCAGTTGTGGAGGATCACATGCGAGCAGTCGCCCAGTACGCTCCGCAGGTGAGGAAGGCAGCATTGCTAATTTTACTACCGACTAGTCGTGGGATGTCTGCCGTAGTGTAGGTTCGTTAAAGAAGAATGGAAGTATCAGCCGTGCCGTGTCGCAACTGTATTCGATTTGCTGCTCGTTCCGTTAGTGATCAACCCGATTATTGTCCGGTACACAATACTCGGACAAATCTATTCGCATCGAGCTCTATCCTGTAGCCAAAATGTCCAATCTTTCGGGCATTTTTGATATCGTCTTTCCAGGACGAGAGATAATTGTGATGGTGCAAGGTGGAAGAAACTGGGGGTAAAGCATTCCTTGCTGTACGTTTCCGGCTTTTCGAAGTGGATTGGGAATGTTTGGGGAACCAATGACGCATAGTAATTAATCGAGTTTAATTATTATGTTTGGGTAACCCGTACAAGAGGTACCTGTAGCTAGTATTAGGCAAAATGTCGATCGTAAACGCGATAATTTTTATTCCAATTTTCAATGAGATGGAAGCCAACTGCGAATCCTTGCAATATTTAAAAAGAAGTGCGTATCTTTTCTAAATCAATCAGTTTACATTCTGTTCTGTCGTGTGTTCTTAGGGTCAGGCAGTGGCTGTACCTGCCCAACCCAGCCCGGGAAACCAGCTTGCCACTATGGTCGCTCCTGTCACTGGAAACCGGGAGGTTGGCCTGATGCGCTCCGAGATCAAGCAAGGTAGGCTACGCTTGTGTTCGTGTCTTTACTCCCATCCCTCTAGGTGCAATGTCGCAGTTTATACCTTACTGCTGTGAATAGTTTGTCATGTAATTAAAGTTTACTCGTATCACTCCATGATAATTATTATATCCATGACTTAGAATGCTTCCTAGAAATGGGGTTTACTGAGATCTGTCTTGTGAATGTTTGCTGAAAATACATTTTTTTCAAAATGCAACCAGGCCTCTTTTACGGGCAAAATATACACAATGGACGGAAATGCAAAACAAATGCAAACCCAGAAAAGAATGAAAAGCTGAAAAGTATGGTTCGTGCTCGGTTTCTTATCTTTCACATGTATTATTGGGTGTGTGTGTTCAGGTATTCGTGAAATTGTTCTCTGCAAGGACACCAAGGGAAAGTGTGGCCTCGCCGTGAAGGCCATTAGCAAGGTACGTTGTTCTCTCATTCTCAACCATTTCAACGTGCATGCAAATGTGCACATATTTTCTGTGCTGGATTTGAATGTCCACGACTCCTATCGAAGCCTTTCATCAGTCAATACTATTGAAGCACAATGTTTGATGGCTCACTTTTTTGGCTGTGTCTGTTTTGTTTGTCTCCAGGGTGTATTTGTTGCGTTCGTGTACCGCGACTCACCCGCCAAGATGGCTGGACTCCGATTCGGTGACCAAGTTCTGCAGGTATGTGGCGGCGACTTCTGATTTGGAGAAAGGCTCCGGTAGTGCATAATTGTCCAACCAATATTCCTCACCGTGTTGTATAGGGTTTGTGGCCAATTCAGGAATTATAGTCGTATGGTTGTTCTTCGTGCATTTCACCTTTTTCTTGTAGATCAATGGTGAGACTGTTGCTGGCTACACCACCGATAAGGCCACCAAGATTCTTGCAAAGGCAGCACCGGAGAGAATTGTTATCGCAGTCAGAGACAGGTAAGTTCTCCATACGGTTCAGCAGGGCTCCATTTCAATAGCCTATGCATCCAGAACTAGTAGTATCATATCCACAATTTCGGCAAGTAGTAACTGTCACTGCCACATGTCTTTGGCAAGGTCCAACATGCTCATGTGGGACTTTTCCTCACCTAATTCATTGAGTCTTTTACAAAGCAGAGTTGCTATTGACTTGCGAAAGTGCTCAACATGTTGTGTGGTGTTTGACCCTATCGCCGTGAAACTCGGAGTTGCAACAAAATACAATTCCTGCTATTGTGAACTTGTGTCATTGAGTCTTTCTGTGGGATTTCTTTGCTGCTTGTACAGACCGTTTGAGCGCACCATCACAATGCAGAAGGACAGTGCCAACCATGTTGGCTTTGTCTACAAGAAGGGAAAGATCGAGAAGATCGTCAAGGACTCGTCAGCGGCACGGAATGGAATTCTCACCGACCATTACCTCGTGGAGGTCAATGGCCAGAATGTTGTAGGACTATCGGTAAGGAGAGATCTGCCAACATGAACTGCTCACGCGATCCTAATCTGCATTCTAGATAATAGATCTTTGGTGTTGAATACAAAACCGTGTTTTCACAATATTCATACTTCGCATGAGTAAAACATCACAATTATGTAAGGAATCCTGCTGGAATTGAGACTCTCTTTTGTTGCAGTGCACTTTGCTTTGTTGTCTAATCGTTTGCAATTATTTTCCCATCTAAACCTGCAGGATAGTGACATTGAGAAGGTCTTCGTTGCTGCACCAAGGACTACAACCATCACACTCATGCCACACTTTGTCTACGATCACATCATCAAGAAGTAAGTCCCTTTCAATGAGAATAGTGCACAATGTGCTGCACGGAAGTGCCTGTTTGGAATTGTATTTTTACAGCTATTTGTGGCCAACTGGTTTTGTGCTAATATGAACTGACATTGCGTTTTCATGTTATCCCGTGTCCTCTTTGCCCTTTGCAGCATCGGCAGCCTGAAGAAGTACATGGACCACTCCGTTCCCGAGTGCTAACAGCTACTAGCGCCAATCCACGAGCCTAAGATATCAGTCTTCAGCAATTCCAGCTGCCCTTCTTGAACAATGTTCTCTTCTTCTTGTGCCTCCCCACACCCTGACTTGCTCGTTTTCCTCCAATGAACGAAAACACGGTCTCTTGACTGCAATGAAATTCTCCTAATGTTTTATCATGTTTGCATACATTTTTTGCAAATTATCTAGTTAATTCTATAGATGGCATGTAGCTTTCAGCTCAAATTGAGCACCCACTACTAGTACTGAAGTTCTGATTTGCTCATTGCAGCTGTACTTTTGCGTGTAACTGTTGTCATTATGGATTTGGCTTGTGCATGGGGCTGGCTATATACCTGGTCAAACTTTCTAAAAACTGATTCTTACATGGTATGCATTGTTGTTGAAGTGGTTCGCCGGTTGACGGAAATGACCGACTGATCTGCATTGATCTTCCATTTTATTATCCTGACTGTTCATGAAGACCAAAGACACTACCTACTGTACATACTGCTCTTATCCACAATCTCACGATACATAAACATGAAAAGAAGTACTCTCTTGAGAACCCGGAGTTTTGTCAGGTGCCTTGTGCGTGTGGTGCATGTGCGTGCACGTGACAGAGTGTGCGATGACCTTCAAGCACGTGACATGTCACATTGCTGACGTAATACCACGCAATCGCAGTGACAACACTGTCAGCTGATGTCACGTCAGGGATTGGAGTCATGCATTGGACATACATGTATGGCATGTGTACTGGACTTTAGCCTGTCTCTACTCTAGCCGAGTCTAGGTCGAGGCCGGTCAGGATAGCTAGCTGCATGCATGAGATTGAGCAGTTGAGGTCAAGCACGTTCCAACAGATTACAGTATACAGCTGACAGTACACTATAGTAAGGCCAAACTAAAGAAGGTGTGTGGTTCGACTCACCCGACCGACCGTACAATTTCAGCCCGACCGTAACTTTTTTTCGGCGGGCTGTCGTGTGACTGACGTACGTGGACTGAACACGTCCACGTCTACGTGCTGTGCGGCGTGAGTCTGCGGACGCAGGCGGCTCCTTTTGGACTTGACTTGTAGTTGTACTGCAGTGCAGTGCAGTGAGTGGTACGACTGCTGCCTTGTGCTGGTAGTAGAGTCTACTCGATACGCGTATACAGTGTATTTACATGTACTAAAAAATATATTAAAAAAAAAAAAATCCGCCCGCCCGCCCGTAAAAAAAATGTCCATGTTAGTCGAACCACACACCTTCTTTAGTTTGGCCTAACTGTTACTTTTATAATTATACTTATAGGAAACAAAATACTACTTCAGTATCCACTTGTCATTTCATTAGATTTGTAGAGCTTGATTCAGCTGGTCACTCTCATGAGGAGAATGCTTGAAAATGTCCATTCACATCTTGAATTTGTTCCTTTGAGTCAAGTACACTATTAGTATTACTGTAACATCGTCGTGACATGTACATGGACATTCCTTTGCTTGCATGCACGTAACGGTGAGGACACACACACATACACACACACACACACACACACACACACCACACACACCACACACACACTGAGTGACACACACACACACACACACACACACACACACACACACACACACACACACACACACACACACACACACACACACACACACACACACACTTGCGCACATATGCATTGATACGACGTGATTAGAATTATCAGCATTATTATTATCATTATTATACTCGGGTTTGATCGCAAGCATAATATAATTAACAGTATACTAATAAAGCCCAGCCCTGTATGAAATATCGGGCTCTAATGGCAATATCATATACAGGGTATATCAATAGAGAACACCGAATTACTTTCCATTATGTGTGTGAGTGTGTTTGGTGTATCACAGCAATCATTACATTCAAGTTGATTGAGAAACCAAGAAGCAGTGGCATCTGACCCTAGTAATAGTAGTAGTAGCAGTAAAACTCGCCATAGAAATGAATGGGCACTAATTGTCAACAGTCAGATCCTATTGAAATAGGCTAGCTTGGTGCTATTCGTAATAATGCCGTCAGATTTGTATTGCTCCTAATATTACCTAGCGGTGTGCGGTGCGAGGTTCTGAACTGTGCTTTCTAGTTCCGTGCCCTTGGCACACCAAAGCAGCAGCAGCAGGCTTAGACCTAGGTGCATGTGCGTAGCAGCAGCTTGTCTAGTTTGTGTAGAGTATCTGTACAATGTACAATGTAGATGCCTTGCAAGCGTGATCCTAAATGTCTGCAGATCCTCTTCCAGGCATTGTAAAGTGCGGTCAACAAAAAAACAAACACAAACAGAGTCATTTTCCAGCTCCGTTTAGACTGTTGTCGCGTCGGAGTAGTTGTATGATGTCGCAATGTTGCTAGGTGGGTCTTCTTCCGGAGCTGGAGGCATCTTGAAGGGCTCAGATGGGCTCGTCTTGGCCTTGGAAGAGGTGCGCACCTTTGGCATCTGGAATCTGTAATGCATAGTCAACAAAATCATTAATGCAAAGGTTAGCTCATTCCTGCAGTATTGTATCCAGAGGCTATTTCGGAATAAAGCTGGCAACACTAGGGGAAGAATCGTCGTTAGAATGTTGTGCTGCAGGCGTAACTACTATGGTCGCAGGAGCGGCATGCATACATGGGTCTGCTGCGACTGAGTGCTCAAACCGCAGATCATGGTATAGACAATATCAGAACAACATATAGAAGTTAGTAACTACATGCATATTCAAAATGCACACAGGGGCAAGGTATTTGTTGAAGACCAGCATTCTGCGTATCGTCATCTGCTGTGAAATCGATCACTCCTTTCTGTTTTTACAACGTCCAGAACTATGGTAAATCATCTAGACATATTGATTTCTTACCCATCATCATCTTCTTCACCACTGAACACTGGTTTGGGGACGGAGGACTTCGGGGCGGCCGACTTCTTGAACTTGAGCGGAGCCGATTTCTTCTCCTGAGTGTAGCCAGGTGGCTCGTCAAAGCTGGTCATCGATTCCAGCTTGCCATCATCTCGCTCCTTGGGCCCACGAGAAGCTGTAAACCTTTTCAGCATGGCGCGTGGATCTGAGAAAGGGAAGCAGATCAAAACAATACATTAAAATGGATATCTCATGAAGAACTTCGAATGTCACACCATACTCCAGTAGTCTGTGTGCCGGCCTGCTGGGCAATATTCTAGCAGCTTGGTCTCGCTTTTGCAGCAACTCAAATGGGGCAAGATGGCCCATGACACTACAGCTTCATTGCCTTGATTTCTCCAAGAGCTATATTACAGCCAAGCTGGAGTCATGACAATGCCGATTTTTGGATCCAGTTTTTCTTTGGATTCAATGGATGTTTCCTTCACAGTGAAGTGACACCTCTACCCGTAGTGTCTAGATTGAGTGTGCTTGGCCGGGGACCCACTACGGGAACCCAGAAAAGCCGGTCACATCAGTATGCGACCTAAGGGGCCTGGCCACCAGATTCAGCCTTGCCCAATATGGTACCAGTGGATCTAGTCTGGCCTGGAAGTCGTTATTTAGTGACTTCTGACGTCATCACTCCCAAGCCCCATGTCTTCAGTGCCAGGCTAAACTGGTAATATGCTCAACAATATTAACAGAATTGAGAGTATCCAAGGGATGCAAAATGTTTGTTACTGATTCCTCTTGCAAGCCTACCTCTTTGCGGCTTCTCAGCAACAACCGGAGGCATGAATGGGTCAGGTGCACCGGCGAATGGTTTCTGCGCTTTCTCCTGCTTCACCCTCTCCTGTTTCGCTACTGGCTGTTGCGATGTTCTCGACTGCCGGCTAGACTTGGCCGCTGGCACTCTGGACATTCGCGGCATCTCAATGTCTTTCTTCTTGCCCTTGCCTTTGTGTCTCTGAGCGCTTCGTTCCATGCGCCGAGCACAGCACGCGACCAGCACTAACAGCAGTATCAGCACGAGTATACCCACGGTCACGGCCACCACGATTCCCCATGTCGGCACGTCGTTCGGTATGTTGTCCACTGTACGCATGGGACGCAAAGAACACGATGATACACATTGATTAGCACAGCTACATTGTATACCACAACCGACAAGTGGAATTCCGTTCACACTCTCTCAGAACTTGTCTGCCTGTAAGTGTTACAGTCTTGCATGGAGCCAACAGGAAAGCACACTCAGAGTCTGCTCTACAGTGTTTTGATCCATCATTATCATTGTCATCTGCTGTGTCAAGACAGCAGCACTGCCTCCTCGTATTTGGTGAATTTTAAATAGAGAACTCAACCGACTTCATCTCACATAGAAGGATATCTGTCGTACAAGAAGTGACAGTCACGCAGAACTATATACTTACATTCGTGAGGTATGATTGCAACCCCGTCCACGGTAACTCTCAGTCGTCGATAGTACTCTCCCGCATGGGTCTCTGATCCGCACGAGTACATTCCAAGATCGTCCGTGTGAATCTGGCGGATGGTGATGTTGGAGCGGCTGCCCTTCCAATTGTCCTCCTCGAATCCTTCTAGGAGGCGACGCTCACTCTGAATGGTGTACCTAAGGAGGAAGGGAAAGGAAAACACCACATCTCTCTCAATATCCTGCAAGTGGATGGGGCTCTTAAAGCACATGAAAGTGAGAGAAATTGTGCAAAGAAAATAGAATGTGCTCCCATGCATCCATACAAATACACAGTTTGCCATTCGGTTCTGTCCAAACACAGTCATGTTCACCACCATTGCATACACTCAGACAAGAGTGAATGAAGTCTCAAAGTAGACGATCGTGTCTTACTTGAGCCAAGGCCATCTGGGATGCGGCTGGTTGTACATGTGGATATTCCAGCCGTTGATCCTCTCCCCACTCTTCATCCACGTGATATTGGGAGGTGGTTTACCGTACATGTCGCACACTATCCAGTAGTCCTCTCCTAGAACAGGAGGGCCGGGATGGATTACGTCCACCACCTCCGGTTGGACTGTACACAGAAAAGATACACAAGCAGACAAAAGCATTTTTAAATAGAGAAAGCTAGTAAGTATGGTGCGGGTGACATTATTTTTTGTTAGTGTGTGTGTGTGTGTGTGTGTGTGTGTGTGTGTGTGTGTGTGTGTGTGTGTGTGCGTGTGTATGAATATGTGTGTGTATGTGTGAATATGTGTGTGTGTGTGGGGGGGGGGGGTCTTAGCCACGAGGACTCGTGTTATAACACACATGCACAGTTTGAACTTCCAAAACTTGCTCTACATGCCACACAGGAGGAGAGAAAACTAATGCAAGTGCTACTTACCGACGACTTCGAACGAGATGTCCGTCTCCACCATCCCGTACTTGTTGAAGAACTTGACATGATACACCCCGTAGTCAGTCGGATGCACGATGTCTATCTTTAACACTCCCGTGTATAATACGTGAAACCGTCGACCTGGTACTACCCCAGGTGGATAGGTCCATTCCACCTGGGGCATCGGTAAGCCGGCCACGAATAATTCAAATATTTTCGGTTTCCCCGTTTCAGCAAACTGCGTTTTATAAAACCACATAAATCTCGGAGGACCTGCAGGTAAGACAGAGAGAGAGAGAGAGAGAGAGAGAGAGAGAGAGAGAGAGAGAGAGAGAGAGAGAGAGAGAGAGAGAGAGAGAGAGAGAGAGAGAGAGAGAGAGAGAGAGAGAAAGAGAGAGAGAGAGAGAGGAAAAAACCAAAGTTGGTCAAATATTAGAATAACATTTTATTGATCACGTCAGACCAGCAATATTTTAATTTTGGTCTGCCGTGACCAACTGCATGGAATTATTTCACAACGGTCACTTCCAGCAAAGTCATCAAGAGTCTACATTAACACGTACTGTTGAGTGTACTGTATGTGTATTTGCAAACTGTCAGGTAGGCCTCATTCGTCACTGTTGGCCCTGTCTATGTACATGCCGATGAATCGAGGTACATGTTCCGCCACAGTTTTCTCTGATTTTCTCGCATAGTACAATGTACCACCAGGTATTCCCACAAATATGCAATTACTGTTTGCTGTACACCAGTCAAAGCATGCCGATGCACTAGATGCACAAGAGTCTCACCGTAAATGTCGACGTATGATGGGTGAGATGCCGTGACGCCCACACTGTTGTTGGCGAAGCATCGATACTGCCCCGTTTCGTTGAACGTTGTCTGGTTGACGAATAAACTGGTGTAGACTACGGGCTCTCCTTCCACTTCTGTTAGATTCCAAGCGACACTTATAGTGGACGACGACCAAGTGTCGTTCACCGTCCCGTTTATTATCTGCAGATCACAAACAGAACAACCATCCCAACGTACATCAGATGGCAATTTGGAATTCTATTTTTGACAACTGGTCGTTCATTGGTTGAGCACGATTTCATCTGATACTAGTATGCAAGTTTTCTGGTCAGAATTAGTACTATCAAATTCAATGTTCCTAGCCAGTTGTGAGCAAAACTTTCAAATTACAAAAGCATTTATTGTTACTGTTCATACCTCGAGCGTTTCATTGTTTTTCATCCAGGTAACCGATGGCAGAGGATGGCCGCCGACTGCACAGCCGATACTGAACTTCTCGTACTCGTGGACGACGATGTGAGGATCCGGATTTTCCATGATAACCGGTTGGGCTGTCAACAACAAAACATGGAGAAAAAACTTGCGTTGTTCAATAGGTGCGTTCCTGTTACATTCTGCTTCATCTAGAAAATTCATATTCAGGTGTTCGTGTGTGTCACTCAGGTTGCAAAGTAGTCACAGTGGTAATTTTGAATAGGTAAAATATCTCAGAACTTATTTTATAGTTCATGCTTGCCTCCCCTTCCTCATCAATGCCCTGATGATGCCCAATGGGCGAAATCAATATTGGCAGTTATTTTCATTCATGTTGTGCAGCCCAGGGCCTGTTTGGTATGAAAGTGTTGACAAGTAAAATAACTCAGCTGGCAGGTACTGCAATTCCTTTCAGTTGTCAGTGGATTGGAGAAGTAGCTTATAGCAAGACTCACTCAGGACATTGAGACGCATGGTTCCCATGCTGACTCCAAACTCGTGGAAGATGAAGCACTGCCAGTAGCCGTCCAGCGTCAAGTTGACATACTCGATGTACAGACGATTGGTCAAGTTCAGCGTCTGCTCGATGCCGTTGTGGTACCAGGATAGCTGGTATGCCGGCAGACCGCTGACCTCGCAGGTGATGTTCAGCTCTGTGCCAGCCATCACAGATGTGTTTTGTGGGAAGACAGAGACCACCGGCTCATCTGCAAAGGAAAAAAATGAGAATATATCTTTTGAAATCAAAGAGAAAGCAAACATTGCAGCCTGCGGGAAAATAATTTGTATGGGTTGCGATTCTAAAACAGTCTCCTTACTCACTATTCCACTCAAAGTATGCATAGTTAAATAAATCCTTAACACTAGTTAGGGACTACATTGGACACTGTATGCCCCCTAGAATGAGTATTAGTCCATGTTTGCACCTCATATAAAGGGACTATGCCCAGGAACGAGTAGTATTCAGTGGCAAAAGCTGAGTCGGTTGATTCGCCAACACCCCGGCGGGGAAGTAGAGCCTGAGCTATCTAATCCATGTCCTGAGCTAGTACTATTACCATTGCCACTTACCATACACTGACAGGTGAGTGAGATGAGATGTAGTCTCTCCGTTAGCAGTGGCCGTCACGCGGTAGAAACCCTCGTCGGATTTCTGAACGTTGTGCAGATGAAGGTTGCCGCCGTGCATGGTGGTCCGGTTGAACGGCAGTGACTGTCCATTGGGCCCAGTCCATTCGTACGTTGGCTTATCTGGAAGGGCCGTGGCAACTGCCTCAAACACCACCGAGCCACCAACGAGCGAGCGCAGCGGATTGGCGGACCGTGTCGGTGGCAGCTTCTCAAACGCAAGCATGTACGGTCCGCGTTTCTCTGCAGAAGAAAGAAGGACAAAAGGCATGCAAACATGATCATACATGACAACATAATGGAAATACTGTACAATATTCTTCAGTTTGAGGGGGATGAAAATGGGGAAAAAATCAAGAAAATTCATTGTCACCACCACGACTCACACGTGACCTTCACTATAGGCCAGCGATGCTCTAACCACTAAGCTTTGGGGTAGTTTTCATCCAAGTCGGGACTGTTCAACATTCTCTTTGGACTTCGAAACTCATGCTTACTGTGAAACAGCAGAGGAGGGAAGGTCGCAGCCGTCCCACTAGCCACCCACAACACACATAACACTGCGGCGGGAAGCCACAATGCATCAAATATTCATGAGCTCGAGGGATTGAGAAGGATGCGTGTTGAGAAGAGGGCATGATCATTAATTTTTCCATCTAGGTTTGACGAGAAGTATGCAAACCGAGTTTAAAACCATTGATCTCCCTATTGGTCAGGTCTATGAAGGAAATTTTTTCTTACGTGTGGTAAGAGTTACGGGAGGACTGATTCGGAACGCTTCCCAGATTGCAAGCATCTCATTCTGTATGAGCAGACGATTCTCACGCTGTTCCAGGTTCCAGAGCCACTTGGCCTTGCGCCACTCTCGCTCCTGAACCACAAGGATCTCTCGCGGTGGATTGTGGGACCAGAAGTCCTGCAGTTGCTGCCACTGCTCAAGTCTCCAGCTCTGTGGGGAGGCAATAGAATAGAGGCAGCAGTATGGTGTGAGCCAGCTGAAGTTCTAGTATCTAAAAAGATGTTGCATCAAAGCATTCTGTCCACTTGTGAAGATCAACTTCTATCCTGATAATGAGTGCCCAAGGAGAAATTATCTCTGTTAGAGATCTGATGACATGATTTTGGGACTTTGTACACACACTACCACCTCTGCAGAGAATACCTGACAAGTTGAAAGCAGTTAGCTACCCGGAAACGTTTTAGTATGTCTCTACTTACGTGAGTGAGTCTTTCCCAGCCCCAGTCCTCGTTTCTTCTGCGTTCGATTTCGGAATTCCGTATGCGGCATTGGTACGTGCCTGCATCCGAATCCTGATAGTTATCAATCTGTAGATCTCCACTTGGCATCAGTCTCGCCCGTGTGTTGTTCACGGGAGATCCATCCTTTATCCATTGAATAAACGGTGGCGGTCGACTCACTCTGCAGCAAAGAACGGAGGTCAACAGCATTGACATCAGTGTCAATACGTTTAGGTCAAGAACTCCCTGTACATTGTGACTGGGTCTGTAGGCACCCAGCAGCACTTTGCCAACACAATACTCAGTGCACACTTTGTATTACAACGTATGTTTACTTACGATTTACTCGATTTTTTGGAGTTATAATGTATTTATGCTTTACTAGTACTTATTGGTAAAGTGTTACATCAAACCAATATAGACATTGTCGGCAAATATGACCATACATGCCATTTCAAGTCCTTGAAATTGACCTTTAGAATGTAAACAACTGTAGCGGATAGCATGGCATCAGTGATACTTTGTATTGTAAGTGCAGAGATCATGTAAAACTTACACACTCCCCAGCGGATCTGCGGCACTTGTCGGCTTGTAGAACACACCATCTCCGGGACACGCCAGTGCGATGGTGTTGCTTGGCACGGCCTGGACATCTCTTTTCAATGCCACAATAGGGTACTGGTCCAAGACTGTGGGGTGAACGCAACAAATTAAATTTGTCAATTAACTTTAAAAAAATGCACGGTAGGCACAAACCCTAGCTCAGTTTTCCGTCATTGATCAACGCATTGTTATGATCTTATGCTACAGGCACGGTGGTTATGGGTATGCTTCACGAACATCTGAGTAACAGGCGTAAAGGACTTTGTTGTGTCATTTGCTGTTTGAGTATGGTGTGTATAACACTTACATGCCATGCCGATGAAAGCTGGCCTGCTGATTATGGTGCCAAGACTGTTTGTGGCTAGGCAACGGTACTCCTTTGGTCGTATCTTCGAGCCATGATAGTCCTTCAAGTTGAACAACATCAGGGTTCCGTTTGGTGCCATCCAGTGGTCTGTTCCGTTTTGGTTTGTGATCGGTACACCGTCCACAGTCCATTCAATGACGACCGGGTCGAGGAAGAAGGGATGCTCCACGTATGACGGATCGTACTGGAACAAATCACCAACGTCCTGGTTGTCGTGAAGGATGAAGCGATTGGCCAACGGAGACTTCTCCCACGGCCTGTGCTCCTTGCCAGTGAAGAAGCGGTCCGGCCCGAAGCTCCACTGGAAGTCCCAGGTGCGGAAATACTTTCTGCGCTCCGGTGTCATCTCGTAAGGTTGTCTGTAAGGGTTCATCGGTATACCCATGTCATTCAGTCGTCTTTGATCTGCAAACAATAGTACACATACGACAGGCACACGATATGAGCAGGAACCGTTTCTATCTACTTTGCTGTGGTACATTTTAAAAATCTCCAAATGTGAAAATGCACATTTGCACTGTACATGCGTAACAATAATTGTGTGAAAATACATTGTCAATAGGGCACAGGAGGTCAAGTATGCCTGTACACAGTCCTCCTGCAAATCTAGTTGCTACTGTTTGTATCTCCGATTCAAACGGCCAGATGTGTCTATTGACAGGAATGCGAATATAGAAAGTGCATAGCGAGACAGGAAAGTGGTCAAAAGGAGCTTTCCACCTACCTGGCCGGTCCATAGGGTTGCCGAAGTAGGGCTGCCATAGCGGATGAGCCGTCAAATTGTCCAGTGTCGGATAATTCGTGATGCACTGCAGCGTGTAGTTATCGCTTTCCGTCAGCACTGCACTTTCCGGCTCTATCTCGAAGCGCAGCTCTTCGTCGGGGCCATGAAGGCCGTGTGCATGACCGGGCCCTACCCAGGGCTTGACCGGTTTTTTCTTCAAATCCTTGTTCTTTGCCCAGTCCTTGGAATGCTCCCACTGATAGCGTCGATTGAAATGGTCGAGCCGGGCCAAATTCCAGACAAACGGTGTCAGCTGCGGCTGAGCAGACACTACACACAAGAAACCGAAGAATATTCAAGCGAACAACAAGGAAACACTGTTCCTCTGGGATGTCCATTAGAGTCACACAAGTTCTATTTTGAGATACATTCTGAGCTTCTTCACTGGTTTCAGAAACCAACACCCGTACCAAGGACAAGGTGGCGGCTGGGCCGATTTGGCACACCATAGATCTACCGTCCGGCTCCAGCCTGGACATTTATCTTTGAGCGCCACTGGAGCGAGAACTGTGCCAGCCCAAGCATTTCCCCGATGTATTTTTATCCCGTCCTGTTGGTAGTGATCGTAGAGGACAGGAACTACGTTTGGCATGCTGCCGCCGCCTAGCCTAATGGCCTATAGGGTAGATTGACAGAGTCACTACTAGCCTCATCTACCATGTCCGTTTGCAGAAAGGTTTGTAGCTCCCTGCAGCAACAGGTAACACAACTGTCTCAGTATCTATCTCGTAAATAGTTACCTGAGCTTAGTCAGCCCAAGCCAACCCCATCTACATCAAGCGAAATGGCATTTCGCTTGATGTAGACCGTCTACGATGTCTTTACTTTAGCGTAGAGGTCTGTTCCATGAGGGGGGGGGGGGAGAGGAGTGTGGGATGGCAGTGTATGTGCACTACACTGACTGTTCGTGAACTCTGTACCTTTCCTTGCGTGCTCGTGACTTCTACAAACTCCCAAGTACATGTAGTTCATGGTATGGGGTCAAACCGTGTCTACGGGCACCAACCCTTGAACTCCTTAGGCTAATGTCTAATGACTCTATGTCTATCGCCGGTTTTCAATGATCACATTCGTTCCGTGATCATGTGCGTTATCATGCTAAGAAATTATATTCTAGCCTAGTCGTGGCCAGCGCCGCTTTCAGATCCGCAGCCCTGAATTCGTAGTGCTGGGGCTGCGTGGAATGCGGCGTTGTTAGTTGTTACGCAGCCTTGCAACAACGAGTATACACGGCCCTGTTGTATCAGGATGAAGGCACTCTGTTTTGTTCTATGTAATTGTTTCAACTCATTGCCTGAACAGGACAAGTACAGCTATCAGTGAGGGGGCGAACAAAAAGACATGTACAGCAAGCTGTTGTTGAAATACCGGTTGAGCACGTCTAATAATCGCCACGCTGGTGATACCAGTACGATGGACTGCCGACTACTATCGCCGCCACGCGACGTCGAACATTAGTCACTGATCGGTCGACATGAATGACGGTTGCAGTTCACCAGAGATGCACTCACATGGCACGGTGTTTCCAAGCAGAAAAAGACACGGTGTGAGCCGAGACGTTCGCATGCTTAGTACATGATGACCTTACAAAATGGCGTACACACTCGACAGTGATACGCAGCGCGCTGAATTATTTGACCGGTTATCCCTCCGACCGACACATCCGTAGATCCACGATGTCTAGCCCATACTGCGGGTTGACTACAGTAGGATTTGCGATTTACATTGCGCCCATTTGGCTCGACAATGGACCGTGGCGAAGCCCTTACAACGGGTCTCAGCACCAGAAGCGCCGAGAGGCAGAAAGTATGGCGCATGTTGGAGTGGAATATACTACCGTGGGTTACAAGCCGGTGAGCAACTAAGGGTCCACTCACTGAATCCTGCTGAGTGGCACACTGTCTGTAGCGACAAATGCTAGACGATCATTAATTTTAGTTCCAACCCCCTAAGACCTACCACTGAGTGTGCACCTAGCTACTCCAGACACCTTCTATGTTCGGTTGGAAAACCGGTTTCTTGGCAGTCGCATGAAAATCATTCACTTTTTCTTCACTTGGTAAATAGTATGCTATATTCCATATTCCCAAGAGCAGCATTTTTTTCAAGTCTATGCGCCTCGCTCTCAGTCCAATCCTGAGAGTCTATCTTTCCACCATGCCATGATACAGTCAAAGACCATAAATCCCAGCACCCGTCGGATTACACGTAACGCAACTCTAGTCTAGGGCAACAACAAGCTCATTTCGCTTCATGCATGATCTTTAGTTTGTACCGTGGCTGGCGGGGAATAAAGCCACTACAGCACATTCGTATTTGGGAATGGAACGAAGGCCTTATCAAGGTTGATTATCCCGCCGCTATGACGTGCATGTATGAGGAATCAACACGTCCCAAGAATATTATGACGTTGAACGGGGACGAATGAAGAGTATGCTAGAGCCAGGGTTGCGCTAATTCCACGTCCTACATGTAGGTGGGTCTAAGCTATTATGGAAGCGAGCACTTCGAAGTCGTTCTGAATCCATTTTTCGCGCTTCCGCATCTTTCAATGTGAAATAGAAATTGAAAGTGATTCTGTCGGAAAAGAGAAAGCAATGATAGGCGCCACCGGTCGATCCACTGCAAACCCGGGTGTTTCATTTCAGTGTAGTGAAAGGGGCCAACGCAAGGCGGGCTGAAATATTCAAGGAGACTCAGAAGAGAATAGGGAGTTAAGGTGTAATTTCATTACCCCGTAGGCCCAGTTAGTTTTCTTCTCGCTTACCTGAAGTAAATCCAGAAAGTGCAGCCACTGCCATGAAGCACAGCGGTAGGAGAGCCATGCTCGTCCGCTGCCTCTGAAGGACCACCCCTCCGCACTCAGGTCCTTTCAGGAACACTCTCCTGAAAAGCTTCTTTTCGTCGTCCTTCCTTCTCTACCTTTCTTTGGCGCTGTGCTCTCCAAGAGCGATCGCATCAACTGGTAACGAAACAGTGTCCCTGCCAGCAAGTTGGTAGAGAATCACTGACTCGCGAAGAGCTGTCCACATGCAGCTTTCAACGCTCGTTCTCCGTGATAAGCATGGGTGATGCTTGTTACTATACGGTGTCGCATGATCTGTCCATCCGTGTAGTCTGGATTGGGAAGCGAAAGCCCAGTGCCAGTGTGCCAGGCCTGCCAATACCCCGGCCCGCCCGCGCTTGCTATCGATCCAATGAAGTCATCATTTTAGTACTGCCGAGTAGTGAAGTTACTGGGATAGTACGGTGGCCTTGTGCACACTTCCACGCCTCGCCGAGGCCGGCTGACGACTTCTTGTATGCCAGTAACGGTGGAGCAACGACGCGACGAACGCTGCAGCCTGTCCACGACCACCAAAATAGATCTGGCAACCAATTGATGGTGCTTCAGTAACTCTCATGGACCAATCTAAAAGTCAAGCACCATTGCAAAGAACGGGACTTAGTTTCCCATTGCTCAACTTATGTGTCCCACACAATTCTGACCCTCGTCATCTAACATGTCAATTCCTCGCCATACATGTTCTGCCACCCTGGTATAATCAGGCGTAGTGGTGGCCTGGCACAAGCGAAACCTCCCTAAGCTGTTTGTTTCTCAACACAACTGTATAGCCAGTGGTAACACAGACATGCGAAATATACTTTCTATAATGTTCTTGTATGTTTGAATTCTATCCGTTTTCTGTCCTCTACTTGAAGTGGCTCGGAAAGTGTTAAAACCTAGGAGAAGTTGTTAGACTTTTGATTATTTTCTCCTTGAGATACTAAGGAGAATGTGTGTGCCGAAAAGAATGGGCAGAGTTGTCGGTGTGATTGATACGTCATTTGTGATTAGACAGCAGCAAGCAATACTACAATGCTGCACTTCGTTTCAACACCGTGTTACGTTCGCGTCCATTGCATTCACTACGGAGGTTACACTCCTTCTCCTGCCACTTCAGCACTCCGTCGTGGTTCCCACGGGTCATTCAGATCGCTCTGCTTCGCCATCTTCCGCATGGATCTTCGTGTAGAGCTTGGCGGTGTCTGCATGGTGCTTGACTTGCCCTGAGCGTTTAGTTCACGCCCGAATTCACTTTTAACTCGATACCAGCGCTGGAAGTGCTGCTGCATTGATTGCTGGCTACTGGTCATCAGTACTGTTTTGTTCTACAAGTACAATGAACGGTGTACAAGTGTATATGCTGCAAAACATCACACACATGTTTACAAGAACACAGGCTGCAAGTGTGACGATGATAGTCTATCTATAATCTGGAGGCGATAAAATTCCACCAGTGCGCAGCTGCAAGACCTTCGAAGGCACCAACCTTCCAGGCACACAGATACTGTTCACGCACACCTGACCCTCGTCCACTGGAGCACGACTCAGATAACATACTACAGCACATGTACACGTACCTATTTTGACTCCCGTGGCCCGCGCTGAACCATTCGAGCATTTCTAGTGCACATTACTGTACCTGTAATGCGCAGTGGGACTTGATCAAGTAAGCAGGGTTAAATTGATTTCAGAAATATCCGATTGGCATGAACACGCGACCACAACGCCGGGACATACACTAACCGCACCCGTGAAGCCGGAGGATAGAACTGCCTCTTACAAATCTTTGCAATTTTGAATTTTTGAAACTGGGATGTTGAACCAATAGTATTCAAGTCAACAGGAAGGACCTGTTAGTTACGACTTTTAGCATGAGTAACAACTTCACATTCATGCTCAATATTCATTGGTTTGAGGGAAAGATGCAAACGGGAAAAGGGAGGATGAAGATTCATCATTTGTGAGAACTAGACCTGGTCTAGTGAGAAGGCGTTCTACTGCCTGTAATTCTGGTCAAGTAAAATAGAGTAACAACAACAACAACAAGAAAAAAATGACTGTCACCACCAGGACTGGAACCAGGGACCTTCGCTTGAGGTCAGTGATGATCTAACCACTGAGCTATGGTGTAGCTGTCATCCCAGCAGTGACCGTTGAACACCGTTCAACTTGCTAGAGTTCAGGATTTCATAAAAAGATTACCAAAGAATGCTGTTTGAGGATCGTCTTACGTGACACTCGGACTTGTAGATTACATACTTCGAAGTGGAAGGAATATACAAACTGTATGGTTCTTCATGGTACGCATAAGCCTGATCTGTGTAAGTAAGAAAGACATGACATGCACTTCGTGCTTACACAGATCATTGTTGTTGCACGTAGGTTATTTTCGTGAGTCTAAACTCCGTTTTTCATGAGTTGTTTCTGCACTTCTGAAATCATGTACATTTACGGTTCTTACTTTGACATTTTATACTAGAACGCTCTGCTCCGGATATTGAACAGTGTTTGAGCAGTGGAAGCCACCGCCATGTACATGTCCATGTGCTCCTTTTGACTTTTAATAATTATTTTGAAAAAGTTGAATGACAGTACAATCATATAGTTTGGGGTTCCAGTGTACCATTACACTGTAATTTGAAGTTTCGGATGCGAAGCAGTATCATAATACATGTACATTGTAGGTATGGCCACCCTATGGTGTGATGGGAGTCTACAAGCTAGGACTGAGATGATGTTTGAACATTCGCTCTGGAACAAGCAGGATGCGAGCAAAGAGTAGTAGCGTCAGGGAGGGACAGGGAACAACTTTGCCACACACAAGTAACGTACTACATGTAGTTGAGACGTCTGTGGTAGACAGCAGTACTGCTGCTGCGTTACATAGACGATAGTCTCGTCTTTACACCTATAGGCTCCTTGCTTCAGCCCGTACTAGTCTAAGTCCGTCCATCCATTCATTGATTGTCGTTCTCTCACTTAAATATCAGTTTCCCTTTTTGTTTTAATTATTTCGCGGAGTTGTGGCCTCTCAATAGGGATCGAATGCAATATGTGTATGTATGTACATGTACATGTATCAGCCAGAAGTTTCTGACATTTAGCAAATCCGTGTCTACCAAAATCGGCCAGAAGTTTCTGTCATTTATCAAATCCGTGTTCTTGTTTGTTTTTATTGAACATCGCTAAACCTTGCGGGCAGGCTTGCCCAATATTATGATGTCGATGTCTACTAGCATAGGTCAGAATTTCCTGTCATTTAGCAAATCCGTGTCTACGAGCATCGGCCAGAAGTTCCTGTCATTTAGCAAACCCGTGTCTGCTAGCATCGGCCAGAATTTCTTGTCATTTAGCAAATCCGTGTCTACCAAAATCGGCCAGAAGTTCCTGTCATTTAGCAAATCCGTGTTCTTGTTGTTTGTTTTTATTAAACATCACAAACCAAACGGGCAGGCTTGCCCAACATTTTGATGGCGATGTCTACCAAACTCGACAAGAAGTTCTTGTCATTTAGCAAATCCGTGTCTATCAGCATCGGCAAGGAGTTCCTGTCATTTAGCGAATCCGTGTCTACCAGCATCGGCCAGACGTTCCTGAAGCAGGTCCGAAAGCACTTCCCGGCATCGTCGCCCCTTAGTAAAATGTTCAAAAAACACTGTCAAAGTCAGCTATTCGTGCATGCCAATATTACTAGTTTTGAAAACGCTTCCCTCTTCATTGAGATCTCTACCATTCATTCTCTCTGCTTTCTCATTATCTTCTCACCAACCCCCCTTCCCTGTAACACAATAACATATTCGCTGCCTTGTCATTGAGCATATTTTGTGTTCGTTTGGATTTGCAAATTCAAATAAAGTATACAAAACAATATGGCCTGCCTAATCAAAGGGCACAACCAGAAGGTGTTCACCCAGGCTGACGTGCGGAAACCAGCTGTGCAATGCCGAGCCAAATACTCTTGCCCTCTGGTCAGCAGATGTTTTTCAGGAGAGGGTGGTCTACCAAGCGGCCGTCACAAATTGGCGCTCAGGCGAGGAGAGGCAGTACTTCGGGCTTTGTGAGATACCATTCAAGACTCGCTATGACAACCACCTGCCAACTTTTTTTTAAGCCTCTTTATATAACTATTAGGCACGAAAATTACAGAGAAAGCACGGAACTATCAAAGCACGTGTGGGCACTGCAGGACCAAGGGCGGTGAAGAGTACGCATAACAAAACGTTGCCGCCTGTGCTTAGCTGAAAAGGTGAAGATTATCCGCGCTGATGCAGCTACACTTCTAAACAATTCAGAATTGGTATCAAAACGTTGACACCAGAGTAAATTCTACATCTAGCGGTGTGTCTTGTACCGGCCTGCCGCCTGGGGGCCTGCCTGTCATCAATGTGACTTGACTGTCACCTCTCCTTCCTTTCACCTCTCAGTAATTGACAGCGTCCGCGCCATATCTCACGTGCATGAAACGCAGCGTTACAAGTTAGTTACAACAATGACCTAGCCGGTTTAGTTGTCTTCGTTATCTTCTGCCTTTGTGGCACATGTATGTATCATTATTCTTTAACAATTCTGGCCATAGGGGCACCAAATGTGTCCTAAGGCTAAGGCATCACCAGCCGCAGAAGCAGCAGCAAAGGAAATGAGGAAAAAGCTAACTGCCTTATAACTGCCTATACATGATTGTGTACCTATCACGCTCAGCAGGAACGAGAGAGAGAGAGAGAGAGAGAGAGAGAGAGAGAGAGAGAGAGAGAGAGAGAGAGAGAGAGAGAGAGAGAGAGAGAGAGAGAGAGAGAGAGAAGAGAGAGAAGTGTATTACTTGATGAGTCCAATCTACCAGCCATAATTTCTTAGACCTGCTGAGTCATAGGCGGTGTATTTTTACCGAAAATAATGCTGTCAGCCTCACAACACGTAGTACGCCCTGGCATCCGACTTCAATGTGAACTGTGTTCATTCAATACTACGTAGTATGTTTCCTTCTTGCTCCTGTACATGTACATGTAGTTTCCAATTATGGGTAAGGAATTTCAGCGTGAAACGGCCTGCTGCATGCCGAGTTCGAGCCAGGCCACTCTAAGTCTAAGAGAAGCACCATGCTATTTCCTTCTAGCGGGTATGATCCAACACCATGGGTATGTTTTGATTTCATCATGCTGTCCCACTAAGTCTGCATTAGGGGCAAGCGTACTACTAGTACTGTCTGCAGTTGCAAGCTGTTGCCAGGAGTATCACGCAGTACAATGCACGTGCATGGAATGTGGTTGAACACACACACAATACAGGGTGAAAGGCTGAAAGCCTCACCACTCCCTGACCAAAATAGAAGACTTGATCCCCGGCTGACTAATACTAGCAATTAATCTTACTGCACAATGCCTTACGGGCGGGCAGCCCTTCCATTGTCCGCGCCCCGGTTCTCCCATCACACACTGTCGACCTGCGTGAACATGTGCTGCGATTCCTGCGAACCAGTAAGAGCAGGTTACGTCAGGAGAGTGGTTGGCTCAGTCAGGAGTCTGTCAGGGCCTAGGGCCAGTAGGGGTAGTGGCGGTCACTGTGGACCATAGTCAGCATGGATCTGTAGAAACTACATAACATGATTGTATTCCTTTTACTTTAACAGCCGTACTCATAGGCAGCTGATGCGTTGACATGGCACCAACGCCTTCTGCACGTAACAGCTATTGAAACGGGCCGGATTTCATTTGTTCACCTCTGTAGACTGCATTTGGTTCTCCCTACAAGTATACCGATAGTGTTATGGCCCTCGTTCTGTAGAAGTACATGTAGTTGTAGCACCTTACCTGGCGCGTATACATGTGTGAAAGAACGAAAACTAAAATTCCTTCATAAGGTGCCATAGACATGTTCGCTATGTACATGAATTCGTGCGGAAGCATCACATTCTACCGGACAGCGCTAGTGATAACAGGAATCCGCCATCTTCCGGACACTAGCGCTGTACATTCTGCGTGACTGGACACCTCCTGTTGGTGTTAGTGTTTAACCTTGGCGAGAGCTGCACGTAACATGTATCACCACAGCCAGCGAGCTAATTCAATGGCGCTAGAACTATTAAATTTTGGAAACAGTACAAAATCGAAGTGTTTCCGTTGCAGTCGTTTTTCGGATTAGATTAGACAGCATACTGTACTGAGTACGCGTCAGCTCATGACGTCTTGGCCTGCACGTACATGTACATTAATTAATTAAACGTTAGCCGTGACACTTGTTTCTGTGATAGCCAGTGGAAGACGACGATAAATTGTTGCCTGTGCTAGCATGGGGAATTGCTGCAGCATTTTCTCGTCCATCTGCCGTTTGAAGCGTACTACTGGACATGAGGATGAGTGGCCACATCAAAACCCAGGATCAGGACAGGCTACCCGGAGCTCGAAACTGACGGAGAAGCCGCCGCCGCCGCCGCTACCGTCCCTAAGCTCCACAGAGGAGCACGCCGACGCCAGTGGGCCCTCGGGCACAGGAGCTGCGGCGCATGACGTCATGAGGCAAAACCAGATGAGCGCACCAGTCGTGGGAGCGCAAGCAGCTACCCCCAGGACCGTCAACAAGTGAGTGAATATTTGCTTCAAATGGTCAAAGAGGACAAAATCCGTAAATAAATGCGACTTACTTCACTGGGCAAATCGTCCTAAAGCTGTCAGTCCAGAATATGGCGAACATGTGAAGAAAACAAAAGAATGTACATTGCTGCTCAATGAAATCCGATCGAGCCGGATAATGCCAAGCCAGATTAGGTGCAGTCCTTTTTGTTTGTTTGGTTTTGATTTATTTTAGTTCTTTGCCTCAAAGGTACAATGTACAACCTCAAAGAAGGTCGAACAGGAAACAAAATGAATGAAGGTCACGAGAAAGGGAGTGAGAGAGAAAAAAAGGCGGAGCATTTCGACGAAGCCCTCTTACTGCAAGAAACGAGGCTTAGAATAAAAACTAGCAGGCAAAGCATGAACGCAGGCAAAAGTTATAGTCACCGGGAAACTAAAGCACTAAATAAATTGTCCAGTCCTAGCTCTGTGAACATTGCGATGTAAACTGGTGAAGGGCATACTCGTGCCAGTCGTGTGATCGGATGTCATTGAGCAGCACTGTGGAAAAAACGCTGTACTTGCTGCTGTTGTTGTCACTGCTGTTGTTGTTACTGCTGATGTTGCTGTCGCTGTTGTTGTTGTTGTTGTTGTTGTTGTTGTTGTTGTTGTTGTTGTTGTTGTTGTTGTTGTTTGTTGTTGTTGATTTTTATTTTGCTTCGCAAGGCCAAACGGGCAATGGTGCCCAATTCTATGGAAGCGAATTTCAAAAGGGAGAGAGCTACGGGGAGAGAGAGAGAGCGAGAGAGGTGTGGGGGGGGGGGGGAGGGAGGGAGATGATAAGCAATTTTGCAGCGTCAACAGAGCGATTTTGCAGTGTCAATAGAGCGATTTTGAAGCGTCAACAGAGGGAACACAAAGAGTTTATAAGCGCACAAGCACGCAGAGAAGAGTAAATGACTTGGTGTGTGGACGGGAAAAGTCAGACAGAGCATTCATTGCAAGGTGTAGGGGATGGAGGCAAGCTTAAATTTCTGGGCAGCCTTGATCTCCCTTACACTCCTTGGAAGAGCGTTCCAGGCCAAGGCTGCCTGAAAGGCTAGGCGAGATCTGCCGGCTTCTGACTGTGCCGAGGGGACAGTGAGGCCCCTGGAAACCTGGTGCCGGGTGGTGCTGCCAGCTGATGGTGAGAATAGGTCCTGGAGGACACTGCTGGCTTTCCCACTGACACAGCGCCACATCAGGACGAGCCGCTTCTGGGCGTAGCACTCGCGAACTCTGTACAGGGACATCCGTTCGAGCAGAGGCTGAGCCGAGGTGTGAGGCGGCAAACCGTATACCGCTCTCGCCGCTCGGTTCTGCAGGACCTGAAGGCGATCAAGCTGCGAAACCTTAAGGGAGGAAGAGAAGGCGTTAGACCCATATAGGAGGTCAGGCATGATGACTGACCTCACATACTGGATGTGACTTCTGAGGCTCAGACATCTGCGGGACCGCCACAATGCTCCAATCTTCTGCACAACTTTCTTCGCCATCGCGTCAACATGGGGGTCCCACTTCACAGCGGTGTCAAGGGTCACGCCGAGGTACCTTGCTGTTGGGCTCAGGGGAAGCTCTGTCTGGTTGCAGCGGTTGGTGTCGTCGTCGTCATCGTCGCTGCTGCTGTTGTTGTTGTTGCCGCTGTTGCTTCTGTGTTTGCCGTTGTTGCCACTGTTGCTGCTGCTGCTTATGGTGTTGATGGTGCTGTCGCTGTTGCAGTTGCTGCTGTTGTCTTTGGTGTTGTTGCTGTTGTTGGTGTTATAATAATTTGTATTATTGTCCCTCTACAGGCTACGCAGTAAGTTACCCGCAAACAGCCCAATGGAAGGAAATGCTCCCCAGTTTAAGACGAAGAAGGGAAGAAGATTCAGAAAGCTAACTTTCAGCGGGTCTTCAAGTGCACTTTCGGTTAGCACACAGTTCTGAGCTCATCACCATTGGTTTTAATTTCCTATACTCTGTAGCCAAAGGATGCCAAGGCAAGGTACTCCCTGAGGTGGTTTATTCGTGGCGGGTTTTCAGTACTTAGTACAATCCAGCAGGCACGGGCAGTAATAACGTTGCAAAAAGCTGCTGGCTGCATCCCACACAGTCCCCTCATTCACTGGAATAGGGTTCAATTGATGCTTATCATTTTTCTTAACCCTTTACCAGCAGCCCCATACTTGAATGCGTCAACGTTGACGCATTCGACAGGCATACAAAACCATGCCTGGCATGACGGGAAGCATCAGCCCACGGGGATTTCCCGTGGCCCTCAAACAGCCTAGGCCTGATCCTATCGGTAGCTGAAGAGATCCACGCGTGTCCCATTTGATTTCATTGAGAACTGCGCGATCGAAAACTTACGGAAATACACGCGCGCCGACAATGCCGTCCGCCTCCGTCAAAACATCGTCAGGTGCATTTTCTCTTGCGCAGTGAGTTCCTTTCGTCCTCGGATGACTTCTCCGGCGACGACCTAGCAGTCATTCGCTCTGGGACCGACGACAGATAGATAAATACTTCGTTCCAGCCTCCGATGCAAGCGAATTTCAAATTACGGAGCGGTGCGCACGCCAAGTAAATTCTCACGCAAATATGGGGAGCGCCAGCCGCTGAAGACGATGTCATCGTGATGTACCTGGAAGAATCTGATGGTGCTTATGGTGGGGAAGCCATGGAGGGCGATCCCTGTGTCGACAGTCGGCCAGAGACAGAATTTTAGCCCATCGACTTTCGACGTACCTGAGTGACGGCAGCGCAGCGCGGCTTGCGTGCGACCTTACGGAGCTTTCCGACAGCGATTCTGGGCCAATGCTGCTCTCATTTGCGAGCGAGGCATGGCCACTGAAGTTTGTGATGGCTATGGCGTTTGTTTCCGCTCCGAAGTCGACTTGTTTTGGCAGTATCATGTCAATGTCGGAACTCTGACGATTTGCATGTGTACAATTTCCGTGTTTAGACGTAGAGATGCCAATTTAGCAGCGTATGTGTGTGGTATGAGAAAATAAATTTTTCCATGGTCAAGAAGTAGTACTAGACTTCCAAGAAAACATAACTTGTACATACAAAATGTGGCCTCGTTTTGAGTTATTGGTATCGTTCTAAATGTTAAGGATTTCATATACAAAAGTAACTTGCCGGTAAAGGGTTAACCCTTATCCCCCCATCCCCGCACGTACACATTTGATTATTAAAAGCGAAGTTGTGAAATCAGGGATGTGTGCACTTTTCATGTGTTGTCTTATACGTTATTCCAGAATTCTGACGAGCCGCAAAAGGGTGACAAGGAAATAGAGCTTTCCAGGAATGTCCCTGTGCATGGTTATGAAGAAGAGGACCCACCTCGCCAGTATACTTCACGAGGAACGCTTGAAGCTCAGAGCTCGTTTGGAGCTGATTGGGCGAATGATGAACTGAGCACATCTGGACTCTTAAAAACCCGAAAGCGATCATCAGAACTTGATGAAGGCCACCACTTGGACATGCCAATCGCGAACGATCCCCCAATTGGACGCGGGCGACGTTACCTCCCGGAGGAAAGTGCCGCGTTCACAATCGCCAATAGTCTCACGCAGGATAGTAATACCACTGCTGATCAAGAGCCTAGCTCTCGTGCCCGGCATGAAGTCCCATCCCAGGCAGACAAGGCCATGAAAGCCAGCACGCCGAGTACAAATCCTCCTAGAACCCGTCGGGGCGGGTTAACGAAAGGGATACGAAAGCAGGTGTCCAAACCTTTCAGCAAGCTCCGAATGAAAAGCCCAACCACCCAACAGGACATTGTGGACGCAGGTGGCCAACATACCACTGCGAGAGGCCTGGCCGATTCGGTGGGTGACAGCGAACAACTGCAGGCACCACCTGTTCTGAACCCGGGAACGGAAAAGGCCCTGAACTTGTTCAAGGATAAGGCCAACTATCCTATTTCAGAAAGCTTTGCCAATCAAATGTTTGCCGAAGAGGCTAAACGGTTAGAATAGGACACATACACACACACACACACACTTGCACGCACACACACGCACGGACATACACACACACATCTCCTGCTGCTAGATATGGCTAGACTTGAAAATTATGTTCCCCCTAAGAGTCTGTCTTGAGCAAACGTATAATTCTCGCCTTGGCACTCATCTGGTCCGTTAGTTCCTTGTGGACTGCCCTATGCTGGATTAGACGGCCTTCGGAGGAGAGGAGACGTCATTCAGCAGGAGATTTCCTGATCGTCTTATTCTCGGCGTTGAGAAAATGTTTTTTTAAATGTATTTTACTGATTTCTGTGCTGTGCTTTCCGAATTGCCTTCCCTAGGAAAATTGAGCGGTTCTCGTTCGTGGCGATTTGATTGTATCAGGGACAGAAAATTGTTTTGTCTGATCGCACCTTCATGGTGACGCGTCTTCAATCTTGTGCAGGTTCCAATAGCCGGGCCTATCTTCTCTCTGTCTTTCTCTATCTCTCTCTTTTTCGTTGTTTCTTTCTGTATCTCTGTGTGTCTGCCTGTGCCTCTCTCTCCGTCTGTCTGTCTGTCTGTCTGTCTGTCTGTCTGTCTGTCTGTCTCGCTCCCTCACCCTCTCTCTCCGTCTCACCCTCTCTTTCTCCCTCCCTCATTCATCAATTCATGGCACTGTACCTCTCCTCAGTTTTCGCCCCTTTGTTGTTGTTAGATATATTCGTCTCGAAGGTCTCCAGATGTTCATTGTCGCTGATATCGTGTCCACAAACATGGTTAAACAATCACTGGAGACATACATGTACAGGTACGTGTATCTCACAACGATCCGTTCGGCAAAAGGCAATATGCAGCACTAAGCAGACTTCTGGAACACAAGTTACACATGCAACTGGTATCTTAGTACAAACTTGGGACAATGTTGCTTTCTTGACTCACATGTACATTCATTGCCATCGGTTCTAGGTATATGTAATCCGAAATACATTTTAATTTTCTAATCAGCGTGGCTCAGAGTGACTAACCAAATTGATCGCAATGAAGCTGTCTACAATAATTGTAGTAAACAATAGCCTTATAGGGGTCTGCGCACCAGAGCCAGAGTGCTCAAATATCTGCCAGGAACATTGATCTTTGCGTAAAATCTCTGATAGTTATGGCTTCCTAATGACGGCTCCCGACGTATTTTGTTCACTCAACTCTCGATACTGTTGCATGTTTATGCGTATTCAAATAGAGCCAACAAAGCTCACCGAAGTGCATCGTGTAGTCCACGTAACATTGCTATGCAACATTCTGCAGGTAGCGCTTCTCTAGTAAATGGGTGGCAGAACGAGGTTTCCGCTGCAACTCGAGGTTCAAGCTCAAACCACCCTCAGCCTAAAAGAGTAGAGAAAGGGAAGTGCTAGTACTAAGTAGTCTAGTGTTGGCTCGCTACTGTAGTCTGTAGTCTGTACTCTGTACTCTGTACTCTGTACTCTGTACTCTGTACTCTGTACTCTGTACTCTGTACTCTGTAGTCTGTAGTCTGTACTTATCGCGTGAAACCATGAATTACGAGTCAAAGCCAAAAGACAACCCAACTTCAGAAATATATGGAACACTCAATTGAAATACAAGATTGAAAACAAAAGTTTTACAAGAAATCGTTACCTAATAAGATGTCTAGTACCCCCTAAGCCCCAATGCCAATGACCAACCTTTGGGAAAAACTTGAGAATACTCACCAATCCGAATACTAATACGTGTAATTGCACTACTCAATCTGCACTAGAAATTGTACGCAGTAAGTGACGCAACTTGATTTGCTTTCTAAACACACACCATTTGCACAGGTAAGATTTCCTTGAACGTTTTCGTTGCCATCTCTTCAGAAGAAATTTACTGGCAAAGGTACATAGCTCAACGCCTAGCACAATATAAACACTGAAAATGCTACGAAGTAGTGGTTGCGACTTTGGCGATGATTTGTAAGAAATGGTTTGCTCCCCACACCGGAGCTCGCGCTATTCCGCCGACTTTACTTGACACTTGACTGACTCACGACTGCCATCCAGAGCACACGAGAAGTCCATCGAACCTTCGACTCGGCAAACCTGCAAGAAAGCACCACTCCCTGCTCAATACACAGTGTTTCGGGGAATTCACCCCTCATCACCCCTCAAGTGTCAAGTAAAGTCGGCGGAATAGCGCGAGCTCCGGTGTGGGGAGCAAACCATTTCTTACTGAAAATGAAATGATACAAGTGTCAGTGCGAACAACGAGAGGTGAGAACAAAAGCCACTAATCAAAATCAATTGCAATCAAAAGCAAAGAGATGAGTTATCAGTTATAATTTGGTTTGGTTTTTTATTATTTCAGTTCGTTGCCTCAACAGTACAAAGCACCTGCAAGGACGTGCAATATACAATATTACGAACTTTTGATCTCAATTTACAAACAACGTTTTAAGATGAACAGAAATCGTAATGACAATTGTAGTGGTGGTGACAGTCAATTTTTACCGTTTGCGTCTTTCCCTCAAACCAGTGAAAAATAATGTTTATAATTATTTATAAGACCGTGGTGGCTGTGAATGTGGTAATTTACAAAGATGAGCTGCAGTGGATAGCCCTTGGCAGATTATGCTGCGTAAATCGCTGAATGATGCTTTCCATTATGCCCAAATTGTGCCAGTGATCATGCTACATTATGCTGGAATTACAAAGGTCAAAAAGAATGGTTTCACCAATTATAGAAACATACGTTGTAACGCTGCGTTTCATGCACGTAGTTATGCTGGAATTATGTAAATGATAGTGCTATACTGCACCTTTGCATTCTTATTGCACTTTGCAACGTTACAACGACTCTGGCGCCATGACAGCACGGCTTGTACATGTACATGTAAGGGGTAACATGCACCAGTTTATTTTCTGTAACATACCTAAATATGCCTGGAGCATCAGTCAGCATCGCAAAGGTATGCAGACCGTCTGGTCTCAGAAGTCCTTTTACATGTATGCCAGGGCATACTTTTAGACAAAATCCGAAGATAATCCCAAAAATTATGCCAGCATAATCCGCCAAGGGCAAAGGCTAGCAGTGGAACCACCGGATATTGAAGAAGAAATGGGAAATTCATGTAGGCTTAGATTTCATAGGATTGGGAGAACTTCAAAATTCGAAGGATCAGTGTGGGAAGTGAACTGCCTGAAAGAGAAAACATTCCAGACCCACCAGGACTCGAACCCGGTACCTTGCTTGTCATAAGCAATGCTCTAGCCATCTGAGCTATGGGACCAGGCCAAACCCAAAAGGCGCTGTAAGGTTTTTCAATCCCTGACTGATCTTTTGAATTTTGAAGTTCTCCCAATCGCATAAATGTACTCTCTCTCTCTCTCTCTCTCTCTCTCTCTCTCTCTCTCTCTCTCTCTCTCTCTCTCTCTCTCTCTCTCTCTCTCGCGTACCCCCCCCCCCACCCACACCCACGCACACGCACGCACACGCACACCTTAGACCTTGGACTCCCATCGCGTAGCGATGATGGCTCAGACGCGGCAGTGGGGGGCGTGCCTCTTCAGGTCACCAATGCGGCCAAAGGGACGGCCACATGCGCAACGGAACTCTTTCGGTCCGGGTGGAGGAGGCTGCTGACCACACAACCGCCTCCAGGTTGGGCGATCCTGGGCTTGACGGATCCATTCTCCCTCTCCGATCTGGGCCGCAGCTAGGTCAGTGACAACAACGTCACGCCATCGCTTCTTCGGACCATGGGGGTATGCCACACGCACACCGTCACGCACACACACACACACACACACACACACACACACACACACACACACACACACACACACACACACACACACACACACACACACACAATCAAATCTTCAGCCTCTATACTGCCGCTTTTTTTAAATCTCTTTTGTTTAACTCCTCCCCTTTCTCCCGATTTTCTAATGCGTGAAGTATTCGCGGATGCCGAGACCATTGGTCGGCGTAGCCTGCAGCACCCATCGCCACCCCTGCCTTGCATTGCAGCCCCATTCAGTCAATATCTTGTTTATACAAACGTTAGTCTGTTGTTTGGTCATTTCAGCAGTCGTCTCCCTGCGTCGCCGGCGCCGGCGATTCATGCGTACTGACGTCATTTCCCATGACGTAGGAAACACGCCAGCGGCAGCAAAGGATAGCACAGCCGACCAGCTAGACTCTCTGCATGTCAGACTGAGAAGCACTTTAGTAACACTAACACTAGTAACAGTGTCAGTGAATTAGCCGGCCTTCGGGTTTGGGTTTGGGTCCAAGATGACGCATCAAGCCCATTGATTAGCGTTTGGGTAAAGGATAGATTAGAGTTAGCGGCCAGTTACTGGTAAAGTAAACCGTACTTTAGTCACGGTACAGTGTACATGTACATGTACATGTAGTTCGTTTTCACACAAGCGAACGGTCACGGACCGATTGAGTTTTATAAATTCATGTCCATTTCTAGCGCTGAGGTAGGGATTCTGTCCCCTGTGCCCATGGTGTCTGGGTGCCAGATGCCGAGCTAGCTGGTACAGACAGACTAGGTAGGGATTCTGTTCCCTGTGCCCATGGTGTCTTGGTGCCAGATGCCAAGCTGGCTGGTACAGACTGTACCAGCTAGCTTGGCATCTGGCACCCAGACACCATGGGCACAGGGGACAGAATCCCGACCTCAGCGCTAGAAATTGATATGAATTTTGAAAACTCAATCTGTGAATTTTTAAAACTACATCAGCACATGACGTATGAAGACAGAGGTTGCACTGCACTCTGCAGACAGAATAACTACGTAGATCTACTGGATCGTTTGATCATCATGATCATGGAATACAGTCATGTAGATTCTACTCGACTGTAAAAGCCATTATTCTAACGAGGCGCATATATCGATTTCCTAAAATTGACTGGTTTACGTGAACAAAAGGTAACGATTCTGACTCATTCTCAACGCTCAATAGCAACAGTACTACTGTATCGATTTCTGTATAACGATTTCTATTTTAACGACAGATCTCTCCTCGTTAACTCGTTAGAGTTTTTTTATTTATTTTTATTTTTTATACGAAAGTCCACTATATTCCCGAATATGTGCGAGAAGTGGTGGCGGGGCCAGGCTGCTCTGCCGACCTCAAAGGTCCCGGCGTCTACGCAGACAAAGCGCGCCATAATGCAGTAAAACCATGAGGAGGGGAGGAAGAGGGGAAATGAATAGTAGTGAGAAACAAGGACAATGGGTAGATGGTCGTGAGAGAAGCAGAGTGAAAGACAACGTCACATTGTGGTAAGGGGGGGGGGGAGGATGCTAGTGAGGCACTGGTCTAAACCGTTTCAAAGGGCGTCGGTGGCTGCTTGCCAGTTCAGGTGCAGCAGATACTTGTTGCATTTTTCCTTGAATGATTGGAGCTGTCTGGGTTGCGGCCGTGCTGGTAGAATGGTCGCTGGTAGGCTGTTCCACAAGGGAATAATGCACTCTGGGTAGGAACCCTGGAGGCTGCTACGAATGCGCACGGGCAGCGTCGACTTGAGCTGGAGCGGGTGGCAGTGGGCAGTCTCCGTGGCTAACCTAGTGGATCGACCACCCACTGGGCGGGGATTGGCTGGAGGTGGGAGGATGGGCTTCAGGGGGCTTGTTGTTGGAAGGTAGGACAGCTTGAACGTGAACGAAAGCGCAGCAACCAGTCGGCGGTGTTTCAGGCTGGGGAGCCAGGCGCCTGGGCCAATCACCTTCAGTGCCTTGTGCTGGATTTTGTCCAGTCTGGATGTACCTGACCCCATCCACACCAGGCAGCAGTATTCCATTGTTGGCCGCACGAAGCCTTTGTAGACTGCCGTGCGGCCGCTGGAGTCCAACAGGGGTGCAACCTTTCTCAGGAAGTGTAGGCGTTGGGCAGCCTTTGAGGCCACGGCCTGGAGGTGTGCTGCGTAGGACAGTTGCGAGTCGAATGCTATGCCCAGAAGTTTAATTTCCTTCTCTTCAGGAACAATCACTTCATTGAAGAGCACTGGTGGGAACGCTGGGGGAGGCTTGCGGTGGTCGATGATGAGGGCCTGAGATTTGGATGGCTCGAAGGTGACCTTCCACTTGGAACCCCAGTGGGAGACGGCGTCCACTGCTTCCTGGAGTTGTGCTGCAGAGTCGGATATGATGGCGGTGGCAGAGATGCACTGATAGAGTGTCGTGTCATCTGCATACGTGGCAAGCTCAGCACCAGCAGGCAAGGTGTCCTCGCAGTCATTTACGTACAGGAGGAATAACGTTGGTCCAAGGATGCTACCTTGTGGTACCCCTGCTTGGATATGGTGCAGGGAGGACTCTTGGCCGCCCACAACAGCCTGCAGGCGCCGGTTGTGCAGGTAGCTTTCCAGCCATCCGAGAAGCGGGCCGTCTAGACCGTACACGGAAGCCTTATGCAGCAGGCCAGCATGGCTGACTTTATCAAAGGCGCCTGCTATATCTATCGCCAGAACATGGGCGGCTCCTCCTAGGCCGGCTGCTCTGGACCATTCACAGTGGAGCTTGTTTAAGACGTCGGCTGTGCTCAGGCCCTTTCTGAACCCGAACTGTTTCGCAGAGATGATATTGTGGGACTCCACGAAACTGGTTATCTGACGATTGACAATTGTTTCCATCACTTTGGATATTATAGACAGCAGAGACACAGGTCTGTAGTGTTGAGGCAGGTTCTTGGATTTCTTCCTGTGAATGGGTGTGACTCTAGCTGTCTTCCAGGATGTCGGCATAACCATGCTGTAGAAGCTAAGGGAGAACAGTTTGGAGAGCGGCCTACTTAGGGGGTCAGCACACATCTTCAGAACTCGCGCGGGAATGCAATCCGGTCCAGTAGCTTTCGATGCATTTAAGCGCCGGAGTTCTCTCTTGACAGTGGCAGGGCGGAACCGAACCGTTGAGAGCTTTTCAGCGGTGCGCTGAGCAACGTGGGGGAAATCAGTCGCAGGTTGGTTGGCGGGGAAGTCGTCGGCGCCCAGGCTGCACTTTGAGGCGAAATACTGCCCAAAACACTCAGCTTTTTCGGCATTCGATACGCATTCCAAACCAGGCTGCGGCGTGAGAGTTGGGATGGAGGTGTTTCTGCTGCTGCCACCTGCTTGCTTGATGGTAGACCACCACGAGCGGTCCCTTAGGCTAGCTTTGGAGAGCTTAGTGCGCAGGGTAGCCAGGCGGGCCACCTTGGCATGCTGGAGGATGTCATTACAACGTCGAGTGGCTGCTGAGGCTGTCTGCCGCGCTGCTGTTGACTTCTGCCGTCTGGCAGTAGCCCAAGCCCGCTCTTTTGCTTTGATGGCATCGGTGCACTCAGGGGTGCACCAAGCTGGATCCGTCGGCCGGGATGTCAGTTGCCGGGATGGGATGAAACGTGACATGCCCTGGAGGATAACTTCGGTGATGTTGGCACACGACTCATCAGCGCTGGTGGTGAAGGCAGTTGACCAGTCATAGGCTAGGAAAAAGTGACAGAGGCGGTTCCAGTCTGCTTGGTTGTACCGCCAGACAGTGCGTGTGGTTTTTGGTTCACGGAACGCAGAGATAGGGAAGTCCATGGTGAGGACAGCGTGGTCAGAGGACCCCAGTGGGGCATGGCATTTCACCTGAACCGGTTCACTGAAGTCAGACATCACAAGGTCCAGGGTGTTGTCTCCACGTGTGGGGATGTTGACATGTTGCTCCAGGCCATGAACATAGCAGAGTTCCTCGGCTGCTTCTCCTGCCGAGGTAGTCTTGGTGCTCCCTAGCCATGCTGCATTGTGGACATTGAAGTCCCCTGCGAGGATAACATAGTCACCGTGGCTGCGCCTCATCTAGGTGGGTATCAAGGTATTCGATCAGCTTGGTGTCTGTCCCGGCTGTGGAGCCTGATCGATAGAGTGCACAGATAACAATCTTTGACCGGCTAGCTGTTGATACAGATATCCATATCACTTCGTGATGTTCCGTGCTGAACCGGTCCAGGTGCTGGAAGGCCATGTTTGATTTCACCCAGATGGCAACTCCGCCTCCATGAGCGTTTCTGTCATGTCGGATTGGGGGAGCGTATCCGGACAGACAGACCTCACTGTCAGTGACCTTTGCGGTTGAGAATGTTGTCTCCGTAACAGCGATGACATCAGGTGAGGAGCACTTTGCAACATGTGCAAGTTCACCAAGCTTTGACTTTAGGCCAAAAACATTGGTGAGTAGGAGCCTGAGGAAGCGCTTCATTAGTGACCATGCAGGTCATGTTGTGGCGCAGATCCGTTTGATCTCTTCAGGTCTCCAGCCTCTGGTGGGGAGAGGTGGGAGTTTCTCCGTTTTCGGCCGCCAGGTAGTGGAGTGGAGATAATGTCTGCCGGTGGTGGTGGCGGCGGCGGCGGGGAGGAGGTTGAGCCCTGCTGCTGTTGTTGCTGTTGCTGTTTAGTCAGAACACTGGCAGAGGTGCTGTTTCTGCTACTGTGGCAGCGACTGCTGGTGCTGCCCTCAGGGCTGGTTTCAGAGAACCTTCATGGCCTGCAGTATAGGGGTCTTGGGCCTCTTGGCCAGAAGTTGGGCGCTGTAACTGTGGAGAATGAAGTGGCATCGATGGTCACTCTGGCGGAAGCATGCCCACTTTCTGACAGCCATACACTGCAGGTGTGGACAGGAAAAGAGGCGCCCAGAAACTCACTCCTGGTTTTGATAAATTGCCTGAAGTGGCTCTCAGTGCTATCTGTGGCGATATTGCCCACGTAACTCGTTAGCACTTCGTTTTAATATTAAATTTTATAATTATGGCTTTTAGTTTTACTAGTGCAATTAGGAGTATAATCGATGCAGACATGGCCAGACAACAACGAGTTCATGGAATTTTTAAGGATTTTTATGTTATTCAAAATCGATTTTCGTGTTCCGCTCATCAGTGAAAATCGATTTTGAATAACATAAAAATCCTTAAAAATTCCATGAACTCGTTGTTGTCTGGCCATGTCTGCATCGATTATACTCCTAATTGCACTAATAAAATTGCTTTCTCCACGCCGACTCTTTTTAGTTTTACAGTGACTGTTACTTGGCCTCATGATGTGCTCTAATCATGACTAATGTCATAGTATTAGTAATGAGTTGGCTCGAATGCTTGCCGACCATGCTGATTACATGCTGTATGTACGTCATTGTACGACGTAAGGCCATGCGCCAGGCTGCAACAGAAAACAGACAGCAGTCAGTCAGCTCAGCTCAGAATCAGATGACACCAGTCATCATACTCCCACGCAGATCTGTCGACTTTTGCATACTATGCATACTACAGTCAGTGTACTGCTAAGTGCTAGTCTAGCGTGGCGGTGGACACTAGCACACATTCCCCGCCGGACTGCTTCTGTTTTGCTTTCTTCGGAAAGAAAGGGGAATATTGGGCGCTCAGACAGCACCGTGTGCATGCTCCTGCCGATGCAAGTATATAAAAAGTTAGCTTTTTGGTTTTGTCTAGTCTTGGAGACAGTACTGAAAGCTTGATCTGTGTGCAAGAGACGAGGGGAAAGCGTCGAGCTTCGCTTCACTAAGCCTTCAGGACACCACCATCATCATGAGCAACCCGCCACCACCACCCTACTCGGCGGAGGTGAAGCAGCCTATGGCCGGGTACCCCGCAGCGGCTCAGCCAGCTTGGCCAGCCCAAGCCCCAGCGGCGTATCCCGCCCAAGCCCCAACGGCGTATCCCGCCCAAGTCCAGCCGCAGCAGATGTATGTGGCGCAGCCAGCGCAGCAGACCGGTAAGACCCTTGGTTACGATTACGATACAAATAATTATTTCTTCGGCTCCTTCCATTCACTGCTCCAAGTCCAAGTGCAGCCCAAGTGGTTCACATCTGCATGTCAGTGTCATAGATCTACGTGCTAGCTAGTCATGTGTATCCACTCTAATCTTACAACGTTACTTATGTGCAGTGTAGTCGGGGGTAGTGGTTCGGTGCCGTGTGGAATGACCATTGTCCTTCGTACATACTAGTACTAGTAGTAGCGAGAATGTGCATATTAAAGGGTAGGCACTTCAGCCGGTTTTTTCCAGTCGGGTTTCTCCCAGGTTTAGCATCGTAAATCGACAGTGGTGGATATCACAAGGTCACCCACAAAATTTCATTGAAATCCACAAAGACACAAGTGAGATATGAAGGGTTGAAGAGAGGCAATTGCATAAGGCGAAAACAATACAATTTGTGGTACCAACAGCATCCCCAAAGTGTTATCAGTGGATATAGTTACAAAACTTCAGAGTGGCATTTTCGAACACACGGCTCTCACAAACACCAACAAGTGTTTATGGATGAACAAAATACTGATCAAAGTTCACAATAGTCCAGAATACGGCAATTGTTACCACAATCACCATAGCAACCCCATAGCAACCCATAGTAACCCATGGCAACCCCATAGTAACAGCTTCGGTTTGCTGTGAAATTAGCTAATATCGACATAGAGTTCACTAGTAGGCCACTGCTGCTGCTAAATGCTATAAAAGACATTCTTCTGGCACTCAGAAGGTAAGCACACCGAGATAGCATACGCAAAATGAATTGAAAGCGGAATTTCTGCATACACAACGCACATGCACACGTTAACGCCACTTCAAACAGAGGTTCGATGTTGGAAACCAGTTTCTCTATTGGCAGCTCCTTTGTACCAGTAGAAAGTGCAAACTAAATTACTTTGGACCTTCTGCAGCAGAACAAACTTGCAGAAGTGAAGCTGCGAATTGAGAGCAAGGCGTTCGTCAGTGACAAAGAACATTTTTGAGAGCTGTTCCTGTGCTGCCTCCTTCGAGATCCAGAGTCCACCTACAGCCGTGATCTCCGTCAAAGTCTCCTTTTTCTTTTGATGTTGTTCTTTCTTGCGTGTGCTACCTGCCTCCTTCTCCTTCACTTGCTCCATACAGCAGTCATGAATTGTCTGCTGGCGAGCCTCGAGATTCTCACAGAATTTTGGTGCAGCGCGCCTGGATGCGTCGATCAAAGTCTCCCTCTCATCGGCGGATTTCTCCTGTAGCCACTGTGCCGTTTGATTGCTCGTAAACATCAGTAGCCGTTCAAGCACAACAGGGTCAAACATTGGCTTTCAGCACGCTTTGAAAACTGGCTCAGGTAGGACGACGACGCATCTTTCTCCTCCGCCTCAAGCCCTTCTCCTCACTATCTACGTCCATATTTCCTCCTTGCGCAGCTATGCACAAACCCTGGTGAACAAGAACTCAACTGTTTCTGAATGGAAACACGACGCTGAAGACGATAGGCAACGTTTCCAACGCGTACTAACAACATTTCCTTGTGAAAACACTCTTTGCTGGAAGTGTACATGATCTGCAAGTCGCAAAAATGTACGCACTATGACGTATGTAGGCTCTACTGAAAGCTGAACGCCAGAGCAGCACGATGCACTGAACTACAGGCCCGTACAAGGAAGCATGGCGCGTACCTGTACAGTTTTGCACAGGCACTTGAGTGATACCACGCAAGTACGCACTCTCACCTTAGCAAAATTTGACAGGTCTTGTCACGTGACTGAAGTGCCTATAAAGGGGAAGTTAAGGCTAAAATCAAAATTTCACCAGTTGTAGTCTTCGGGGTGCTGAGTCGAATGTTCGTGGTCCGAGGAAGCTGAGATGCTCCCTTCCTACTTTAATCCCAATCAAACTCGCGCACTTCCACCGAAACTGGGTGACTCCGCCCTACTAGATGGGGATTTGTATGCAAAATGTCACTAAAAGCGCCATTTCGTTCTTATAAAAGCACGGATGACCGCGATTGGCCCATATGTTGTAGTCTTTTGGACACTGAGTCGACTGGTTTTGGTCCGAAAAGGCTGCGATGCAGCGTTCCTCCTTTATTCCCAATCGAACATGGTTGAACAAGCGGTCACGTGCTCCTGCGTACACCAGTCACCTGGTCACCGTGCCTGCAGGGTACAACTTACTAGCCTGTTTGACCTTTTTTGGGTGCAGTCCTGTCACTCGAGTTGAACTCGAATTGAACCTTGGTGTGAAAGTTGTCGCCTGCTGATGTGTTGACCAGGTGATTTGGGCACCCAGTAGGGCTTGGCGGATAATGCCGGCAGAAAAATTGGCAGAATTCGGTACTTTTTCTGGTAAGTTTCATGCATGTTTGGTATGTGGATAAAGAAATGGAGCAGAATTCGAGGAATTGCCCGCCATAAGGTTTGTATGGTTCTGCCAATTTCGGTGCAAAAAAAGCAGAATCTGCCACCTTTTCGAGCATTATCCGCCAAGGCCTAGCACCCAGGAGCACGTGACCGCTTGTTCAACCACGTTCGATTGGGAATAAGGGCCGAACGTTGCATCGCAGCCTTTTCGGACCAAAACCAGTCAACTCAGCGCCCAAAAGACTGCACCATATGGGCCAATCGCGGTCATCCGTGCTTTTATAAGAACGAAATGGCGCTTTTAGTGACATTTTGCATACAAATCCCCATCTAGTAGGGCGCAGTCACCCAGTTTCGGTGGAAGTGCGCGAGTTCGATTGGGATTAAAGTAGGAAGGGAGCGTCTCAGCTTTCTCGGACCAAGACCATTCGACTCAGCACCCCGAAGACTACAACTGGTGAAATTTTGATTTTTGCCTTAACTTCCCCTTTAACAATCCGAGGTCAGTGTTGTTTTTGAGAATTGTTCTTGACGCATGCATTCTACAGTCTTCAGTCTGATAATATCTGACAACTCTTTCAACGTGAGTTTCCAAGGCACATCACCTCCCCCCCCCCCTACACGTTTTGATTCAACCCATGGACCAGGTCAAGGAGCACCTACAGTTCAATGAAAAAGACAATGACCTGTTGGGATTCTACTGCTGTTCCAACCTCCTCCCCCCCCCCCCTCCTCCACTGTGCAGATCGGCCGGAAGCAGGTTTTGATTTGTACGGTAGCAACAAGGCCTTTCATACTTGTACTTGCTGCATGATTTGGCAGGTTCACTTGCCTTCCACAGCATTATACATGACTGTGTTGGTGGCCAAAAACTTGGTCCGGTGATAACCTGACCGACCGGACCGGTCCCGGTGGGCCTGCTGTGTATTGTACACTGCTGTGTATTGTGCACTGCTGTGTATTGTGCACTGCTGTGTATTGTACACTGCTGTGTATTGTACACTGCTGTGTATTGTACACTGCTGTGTATTGTACACTGCTGTGTATTGTGCACTGCTGTGTATTGTGCACTGCTGTGTATTGTGCACTGCTGTGTATTGTGCACTGCTGTGTATTGTACACTGCTGTGTATTGTGCACTGCCTAATGTCCACGATGTATATGTAGTAATGTTTGCTAGGACCATTAGAGGAACATGAAACCATCCGAATTTATGATACCAATTCAAAAACAACATGGGGAGGAGGGCAACCATGGGGTCTTCTTAGACAGAACACAGGCAACCTAAAAACATTTTTAAAAAAAAGGCTCCAGGAAAATTCGTAAAAAATTGGGTATTGTCAATAACACCCCATTTTTGGGGTAAATCCAAGTGCCTAGTTCAGAACTCGCCCGATACGTATTGTACATGTACAATTGACATAGACATGCATGGGCAGATACCCACAGAGTGTGAAATTGAAACAGTGGTCTTTGACTGGATATTACTTGGTATGAATATTATCACATGAGTTGTATCCTTGACCACTTTACCAGTGAATCTGATCTACATACTTGCACGTACGGAGCCTCCCTCGATTTAAGCTAAGGTCTGTGGAGAATCCGTAAAATAATAGAAATACCCCCCCCCCCCCCACACACACACACGCACATACACACACACGCGCCTCTATAGGCGAATCATCTGACACTTTGAATAGGAGTGGTGGCGCTCCCTTTAATCCTGAAACATAAATCTGGCCGGTTGGTTTTACTCTCTTCATCTTTCTTATGCAGTTGTTATAAACCGGCAGATTCGGCCGCAGGTTTATGGATTTGGCTATGGTTACTACCAGTACATCCCAGTGCTACACATGGCGCCTGCCATCATCTGCCTCGTCCTCAATGTCGTTGGCCTCGGATTAGGTAAGATGATCTGTGCACTGAGGCTAGCTATTCTATTTTGTTGGCTGGTTTTGCCATGATGAATGCTACGCTACTTGGACATAACAGTTACCGCAGGTCTGGAGAGCGTTTAGACTAGCATAACTGTGCTACCTGTTGCCCATTTCTGATAATGGACAGATGAACATCCTGATGAACAATCTCAGCTAATAATAGAGTTAGACTCGACGGAGAACCAAGGATCAAATTATTGAAAAGAAAATGACCAACACCACCAGTTACTTGGCAATCAGCAGATGACATTGCACGACACTGGCCGACAGTACTTACGATCCACAACTGATTGCCAATCAGCTCTAGCACGTCTTGGATGGGCACTCCAACAGCCTTCCGACTTGGAAGGTTCTAAGTTACAGGAATAACAAACGAGGGGAAGATGTGCGCAACCAAGATAAGCACAAGCTGAAAGTCTCAGCTGTGAAGGACGTTGGTGGATGTAATGTTGATGACGATATCGGCAAGACCATTGAACAACACGATGAGTATACAGCAAGTCTCCTGCAGCATACACTTTCATCATTACCTCAAGCTGATAACAACTGTGTTTCATTCCAGGAAATTTGCGTTGCCAGAAACACATGCAGAAGCTACACAATACTGCTATTCGTGTAATCTTGATTGATGATGTTTTTTGTGTTCATTCGTTTGAGGGAAAGGTGCTGACAGGAACACAAGCATCTGTGTTGTTTTTCATTTCTTGTGTGCATGGCCAGGATCGTGTGTGGCAGCATTCTGCCTGCTATGCTGCGGGCATACGTACTCGACCACGCAGTCCAAGGGCGAGGTCTTCTTCTGGTGTTTTGGCGCCGGATTCCTGCAGCTGTGTTTGTGCTTTTTCTCAGCACTCGGATGGGTGTGGGCCATCTTCTGGGGTGCTCTTTTCGTGAGCATGTCCAGTAAGTACATTGCAATATTAAACGTTTCTTCTTTCTTTAACATGTATGTCCACTGCTTTTCTTTTTTTTGATTTGGCTGTGGTTGGCTATCACTTGCCACGAGATGATCGTGCAATAAATAAATAAATAAATAAATAAATTTATAAACGATTCCTCAGCACAGTAACACCTGATGTAAGCGACCTCTGTCTTTAGTGACCTCTGTCTTTAGCGACCTCTGTCTTTAGCGACCTCTGTCTTTAGCGACCTCAGTCTTTAGCGACCCCTGTCTTTAGCGACCTCTGTCTTTAGCGACCACCTGCTCTTAACGACCGTTTTTCCATGCACGGACAGTTTTACACAGAAACTGCACCGGATACAGCGACCACCTGCCTTGCGCGACCAGCGACCGACTTTTTGTGTACCAAGTGCCATAATTATTAGACCTGCACACAGCGACCAAAACTAACCAAAAGTGCCATCTTGGCTGGCAGAGTTGACTGCAACAGGGTTGAAGTGCGCTCTGACGTAAGTGGATGCAGTCAACTGAAGTGACAAGTGACAGTGCAGAATGCACTCCAGTGAGGTGTGCTTTGCCTGCACGAGAGTATTCTATGCTCCACACCTGTCAATATGATTTCGTTAGCTGCATACATTGCATCCTCGCCAAGTACTGTGGAAGCCGTTATTCTAACGAGGTGCATATTATAACGATTGCCTAAAATTGACTGGTTTACATGTACCAAAGGTAACGGTTCTCACCCATTCTCAACGCTCAATAGAACAGTATATCTATCGATTTCTGTATAAAACGAAATAGTGGTTGAGACTTCGGCGATGATTTTTTAGGAATGAGTTTGCTCCCACACTGGAGCTCGCGCTATTCCGACCACTTGACTTGACACTTGAGTTAGTCAAGTGTCAAGTCAAGTCGGCGGAATAGCGCGAGCTGCAGTGTGATTTCAACGACAGATTTCTCCTCGTTAGCTCGTTAGAATTAGCAATTCGTTATATACATATTTATTATGGCTTTTACGGAAGGATGTACCCAGTGTGCTGACAGTGCTCAACACCGTGGAGGCAGAGCGTAATACAGAACAGAACAACAGTTGCCTGATGATTGCGAGAGCATGAAACTTCAAGTCGCAGCAAACAAGCCTTGATTGTCCTTGTTGTTCTGTTCTGTATAATTATGGTTTTTACAGTAGCACGTATCCAGCTGACCGTAGGTGCTGGTGTATGTAAAATGTTACAAGCATGCATCGTCCCATGTTCCTAGCACATTACGTGCTCTCTGCTACCAGTTCGGGTCTCCTAGAACAAAAAAATGAAAAATGCCGAAAACCATCACAGCACTCCTTGTGAATCATTTAAAATGGTGACATAGGTCTGAGGAACAGTGCAAATATCACTTCATTGAAAATGGTCCCGACATCCAATAGTAAAGCGTGTTATTGTTTACCTCTCATGAGTGTATGCCATTATTGGATATGTGCTCTTTCCCATTTTCTCTTCAACTAGGCCAATTCTATGGGAGACCCTTCACACCAGTTCAATCAACCACCACCACAACGGTGATCACAGCCTAGGTGCTCAATGATTCAGTCATTTTGAACCTGGTTCCGCATGGTCCGCACCGATGGCAGATTTTCCTTGAAAAATGTTTTTGCAACGCTTGCCTTTTGCAAAATTTATATTTTGTTTCACTTTGTCGGTTCCTCTCTTCGGAGGATTGCCCTTTACACGATGCTGTAGGAATTAATCAGCAGCACTAAGCTATGGTTCTGCCATTGTGTAGAACCCAACGCACGTGCATTGCAACAAGCACTGGTGCACACACGTTTTGCCTTGATGGCTTTGACTCGTCAAGTCTTTCTAGATTTACCACCGATTTTTTATTGTGTGTATGCTGCTGGTTCGCCTTATCCACTGCGTGCGCACTGTAAATTAGTGCATGATGTACATTGCAGTTTTAGAAAATGAAAAATTGTGGACGAATGTACATCTATGTGCATCTTGGCTGGCATGCTAAGCAGATGCGACGTCATTCGACCTTGGATCGGCGAAATACTAAAGTTTTCCTCCTGCTCGACTCGATTGCTTCTGGACGCTTGTTCTTGTTCCAGGCCTCTCCTCTTACGCCTGCCTTCGTTTGGGCATCAAAAATGAGACTGGAGTGTCCCTAATTAAACAAGGTCTGTATGCCAGTCAAGAGCATGGTCACATCCAATATACCTGATTTTAGGGTCCAGCGGATACCAGTAATGCTCCGAAAATGTTCGTATAATGCTAATCATAATGCTCCGAAAACTACCTTGTAATGCTGATTATAATGCTTCAACAACTTGAACAAGGGCTATAATGCTCTTGGTTTGGAACAAAAATGGAAGAAAGGCTGCACATTGTCAAACTTCCAGGAAGGATGCATTTCGTCGATCTGCCTCTGAAGCTTCACACAGTTATACACCACTACTCAAAAACGGTCTCTTAGCTACAAATTCTTTCAATAATTTAGATGGACAATAAGCAGCGGTAACAAGCAGCAGTTTCACACGACGATCGTTTCGCCGTATAGATAAAGACGGCTCATCAGGTGTGCAGGAATGGACTCGGATGGAGAGCCAAGGTTTAATTTATACAAAAGAGAAAGACCAAGAAACTACAAGTTACGCTACACTGTCCACTAACACCACCAGTTACTAAACAATCAGCTCCTGCGAAAAAATTGCACGACACTGAACGACGGTACTGACGTTCTATAGCTAACTGGCTAACAGCTCTAGCACATCTTGGATGTGTACTCCAACAGCCTTCAAACTAACTTGGAAGGTTCTAAGTTAAAGAAATAACATAAGGAATGGAAGGTGAGCGCAACCAAGATAAGCACGAGCTGAAAGTCCCAGCTGTGAAGGACGTTGGCGGATGTTCATGCATGCCGATGACGATACTGGCAAGACCATTGGACAATACGGTCAAACCACGATTCAAGAATGCAAAGCAACATTCCACGCAACTTGTGTGGCTCAGAAGATGCGAAGATCAATAAAAGGGGAAGCTATGCGAACAAGAATCATGAAAACCCGAACGCCTCAGTAAAACAGTACTGTACTTCGACTATGGCAATTTAGATGGACAATAAGCAGCGGTAACAAGCTGAAACGTTGTACAGAATCAGGCGACGACCTCGCCTCATGATGTGGTGACGGTCAATTGGGATTCCATACCATCACTGGAGGCGCAATCACCAGTAAGCAGTGATGGAGTAGCTCCGACACTAACGGCACAGGATGGTGGCGATCGCCTATTGCACTGGCAACGCAGACCATCAAGCAGAACGGACGTGGTTCGTACCGTAAAGATCCGGTGATCTTTACAGTACTATGTCGTCGTAGAAGCCCTCCATTCCGTGCTGTACGACGAGCATCTTCTAAACCCTAGCAGGCTTCACAAGTGGACGGACGCTGAGGTTGGCCTGACACGAAGCACAGTTTATGAGTATATGCGGGCCTACAAGATAGCACGAATGATCCGCAGTCAAGACCCCAACATGTTAGTTCCGTTGGCTTTGTCGCATTTCGAAGTGTTCAACAATACTGCTTTGAAAGAGAATGGAGTGAAGAAGGTGTTTCAGCTCTGGAAAGCAATTCTAGGATCAACCCCACCAGAGAACAGACATCGATTGACAGCAAAGCAGGTCCTGGCCAAAGGAAATGCTATACTATATTTAAACAAACCTCAGATAGATATTCTGAATCTTACGCTGAAAGCACGCTTACAAAATTAATGTCGGTTCAGCTCATATTATTGATTGCGGTTATCAAATCTACGTGGAGGTAATAATTTTAATATAGCTATGAATAGGATGAAGGCAGCAGACATCACGCAACTACGTTACTTGTTCGACATGTATGACTGTGTATTTTATAACAAAAATATTATTGAAACCCAGAATCGATTTTCTCGTTCCTATCATCAGTGGGAAGAAATACGGAACTAAAGGATACAACCAAAGAAACTGAAGTTAAGCACTGTAATAGAAAGGTGTTAGAATTATTACATCATGATACAAGTGCAATAAAACCACTAGAGGAAACGCAAAAAGGTAACAAGATTACGTAACCAAAGGTGAGAAGGCACTGAACGAAGTGCCAACCTACGAATACAACCTCAGTGCAACGACGATACGTGCGTTCATGGTGAGGAAGGACGTCCTACCATCCCATCTTTTGAGCCATTTGGTTAACCAATTTGAGTGCCGGAATTGTGGTAGCCGGTACGTTGGTAGGACCCTTCAACACCTCTGACGCACGTATCAAACAGCATGTACCGCAGCATATTCTGCCGGATGCAGCTAAATCCAAGCGGCCGAAGCGTGGCCTACCGCGCAAGAACCCACCCCCTGTGGCAGTGGTACAGACTGAGCCAACACAAAATGCTGTGCCGTGTGGGAGAGCTAGGCCGCCCAAGTTGCCAACTCCAGCAGCACCACCGTTGCCCTTGCCACCACCAGAACCGCCACCGGCTCTTCTTGTGACGGGGGCTGGGGTGGACCCACCTACACCCGCGCTGGCATCACCAAATCTCACACGAAATGCCACGGCGCCCACATTAATCCAGAGACCTCGAAGGGCAACAGCAAGCTACTCCACAGAGATTTATGCCAGAAACGGCCAAGGACCGCGCATTGCGGACAGTACCAACAGGAGGAGGGTCGAGCAGTATCATGAGTCAGTGAGTGAAGCGGATCTGGTGGAACAACTCCGGTCACGGGACGAGCAGCTAGCAAATGGGAGACAAGTAGTGTGTACAGAAACGGAGGATGAGACGGATGATCAGAGGATGGAAGAGGAATTGGATGACGAAACGGTTGGTGAAGAGACAGCGGACGAGGCAGATGATGGTGGTGATGATGATCGTGAGGATGACGAGCGGAACGAAGAAGAGGACGATGAGGTGGACGAGTCGGAGTTGGATGGGAAAGAGCGAGATGAGGCGGATGAATGTGTTGATCGTAAGAAGTCGGCTGTGTATCTACACTTGTTATCTCGCCCTGACTGTCTTGGTGTGTATGATGACTCTCATTTTTCTGTACTGTGTCGTGCGCGTTATGTCCAACAGTTGAAAGTCCTTGAGGCAGTTTGTATACGTGCATGTATTCATAAGCCTGTTTTGTGTAAGCAGAAAGAGCACGTTGTTGCACTGAGGTTGTATTCGTAGGTAGGCATCACTCCATCAGCGGGTAATGCTAGTAAACTCAGCCGATTACATGTATGCTTTTCAGAATGCCAGCAAAAACAGGATATTATGCTCGTTTTAAATGCTTTTTATGCTAGTTTAGGGCGTTTTACATGTACATGTATGCTAGCAATATATGTCCAAATACAGCAAACAAATCGCAGAAGAGTACGCGAAAAAGTCTGTTCCCAAAGTAGGTATAAAGATATGCGCGCAAAATTGATTGATCGGTGGTAGACTACTTCTACTCGAACAAAGGCAACATCGTTGTACGCAATGGTATACATGTACATGTACATGTAGTTTGCGTTGGGATGGTCATGTGACACGTCCATGTATAGGCATTTGATCAGGGAGTACTGTATTCTACGACTCTCTGGCCATGAGATGCTGAAAATCGCGAATTATGCTAGTTTCTCCAAAAACATGCCTCATTATGCCGGGGCAATGCCCCCCTCTGCGAACGCCGAACAGTCGAACACCCCCATTATGCTAGTTTTAAATTAATGCTAGCATTACCCGCTGCTGCCTATTCGTAGGTTGACACTTCGTTCAGTGCCTTCTCACCTTTTCGAGTCCTGGTGGGTCTGGCGTTTTTTTCTCTTTTCAGGCAGTTCACTTCCCCGACTGATCCTTTGAATTTGAAGTTCTCCCATCCTTTCCAAATTTAATCACTTTCTTTCACCTCTGGTAGTTTCCAGAAACTGACCGTGGTTGGTCCCCTGGGGGAGGGAAAAAGACCCAAGTGCCATCAGTATGTGTGGCACGTGTTGTGAGCTGCCTTTGGAGTGAAAAACTTGTCAGCGCCTTCTAGGTTCAGCCTGGTCCCATAGCTCAGTGGTTAGAGAGCATTGCTCATGACAAGCAGGGTCCCAGGTTCGAGTCCTGGTGGGTCTGGCGTTTTTTTCTCTTTTCAGGCAGTTCACTTCCCCGACTGATCCTTTGAATTTGAAGTTCTCCCATCCTTTCCAAATTTAATCACTTTCTTTCACCTCTGGTAGTTTCCAGAAACTGACCGTGGTTGGTCCCCTGGGGGAGGGAAAAAGACCCAAGTGCCATCAGTATGTGTGGCACGTGTTGTGAGCTGCCTTTGGAGTGAAAAACTTGTCAGCGCCTTCTAGGTTCAGCCTGGTCCCATAGCTCAGTGGTTAGAGAGCATTGCTCATGACAAGCAGGGTCCCAGGTTCGAGTCCTGGTGGGTCTGGCGTTTTTTTTCTCTTTTCAGGCAGTTCACTTCCCCGACTGATCCTTTGAATTTGAAGTTCTCCCATCCTTTCCAAATAATAATAATAATAATAATAATAATACGAAGTGTCAAGTAAAGTCGGCGGAATAGCGCGAGCTCCGGTGTGGGGAGCAAACTATTTCTTACAAATAATAATAATAATAATAATAATAATAATAATATTGACTGGTTTGAGGGAAAGAGACAAACGGGAAAAGTCTGAAGAAAAAATTGACTGTCACCACCAGGACTCGAACCAGGGACCCTCGCTTGTAGCCAGCGATGCTCTAACCACTGAGCTATGGTGTAGTCGTCATCCAAGCAGAGGCCGTTCAACATTTTCTTCAGACTTCGTAACTCACACTTCCTGTGAATCCACACAGGCGGGTGGGACGCAGCCCTCACTGTAACCCACACACTTCACGTACAAACTAGCACGCGGGGAGCCCCAAGTCATAAAATATTGACTGGTTTGAGGGATAATAATAATAATAATAATAATAATAATAATTTAAAGAGTCGGCGTGGAGAAAGCAATTTTATTAGTGCAATTAGAAGTATAATCGATGCAGACATGGCCAGACAACAACGAGTTCATGGAATTTTTAGGGATTTTTATGTTATTCAAAATC